AAATCCTGCCTGAGCCATTTGACTAGGACTCTGTTTCATCTGCACTGGCCAGTCTTTAAACGAATCGAGTCTTTTCTGGAATGAAGTCCATTCAGTCTTGATTGCACAGCAATCGGCAACGACAGTCTTGTCGAATGGGTAATGTCCACACACATCCATGATATCCCAGACCAATGGTAACACGTCAGCACAGTACAGCGTCTAAACCAAGAATGGCTTTACACCCAGTAACTGTAGTCACTAGGGTTGCAAAAGGAACACTGGAAGTATCCCATCTGGTTTTGATGATCGTCCTGAAGCATACAGGGTACCATGTCCTTCAGTTCTGGCACAAAGTCTGACATGACTCTTACACAATCTACCAGCTTTTCCCACTGATCTAGGGACAACAGAATACATTGGTTGGTAGGTATCACTCTACCACTTTTCTGATCATTCTCCCACTGTCGCACATCAATACCATTGTCGTCCCAGGAAGCGTACATGTTCCCTCCAACATGGACGTGTGAGTACCTTCCCTGCTGTTTCAGCTGCACGTGAACACTAGACACTTCCAGCCAGTGTTTCAAGGTAAGCACGATGCCTCGTTTGGTTGGGTAGGTCTTGCCACTTGGGTATACTTCGTACTTCCTCACATGAATTTCTAGTTTTCCATTCCATGTCTTGGCTGTCACATAGACGTCGTCCCCCAGATGTAAATGGCATCTGGGATTTGGAAGTGTTACCAGGACCTCGTTATCACAACTCTCACGGTGAACGGCTTCCATTTTCACGGCCAATAGAACCAGTAGAGTCAAGAACATAAGATCCGCACGTAGCCCGACTGAAGTCAGAATGATATGGAGGACTGTTCAGGGGACTTTATATTATTCTAAAAATAGAAACACCAGATGTTGATATGAGTCATGGTCTAAATATAGACTTTTCTAAAAATAGAAACAGCAGGTGTTGACATGACTCATAGTCTAAATATAACCTGTTACCAGGGGCCTATTCTAAAAATAGATTTTGACCCTATAAAGGCCCTTATACTACTCCGAACCATCCCAGAACCATCGCCGTATCCACCCCAACACAGTTCGACAACGTTTACGTCATCACGGGATCAGACCACGACGTCCCGCCATATGGCCTATCCTGACACAACGTCATCGACAAGTTCGCCGAATGTGGCGCCGAAATCATGTCCGCAGACCCTTGTTTTGGTGGAGAAATGTTGTTTTTACAGATGAGTCCAGGTTTAACATTTCCCATAGTGATGGACGTCAACGTGCCTATAGACGCGTGGGAGAACGTTATGCACAGGCCTGTGTCAAATTCACCGGATCTCTCCCCGATAGAGCATGTTTGGGACGAGATGGATCGACGTCTACGCCGTCTTCCTCATCCGCCAGATAACGTCCTTGACCTTGCAACAGAACTTGAGAGAATCTGGTGTGACATCCCACAAGCCTTCCTTGAAATTCTCCCGACTTGTTATGGTCTCATGATCCCTCCATTAAAGTTTATATGTACCTTTGACATTGTTATCGTACTTATCAACCGGGATAATATTTTGACAATGCACAGTTTCTTTATGTGGCTAGTATACATTGAACGTGTTCAGTGACTGAACAATATCTACAACTCTTCCCAATATGCTGCCATCAACCTTCACTTTGTCATTCACTATTAATGGAGATAGGGAAGGTGCCATGTTTGTTTACAGCAACAACAGAGCAAGCATGGTTCGTGACGTCACCAAGGTATGACGTCACCCATAACGTTGACTTCCTAGGCTTCACCTGATTTCTAGCAGACGTATTGTATTACCATTTGCGACATTGTGTTTGAGTGTAGAATGATTGAAGTAGTTCCGGCATCATGTTTTTAAACAATGAAATCGTTTATTTTCTGAAACAGCCAATCAACGTTCACCAAAAGGTGTAATAACCTCCCTAGCTGTAGGGACTTACAGGAAACATACTACCCTGTGTCCTCTTTCCCACATGGATAATAAAAATACTATCGTCTACTGGTACGACAAGGATCTATACCCTACCCCCAACAATTATAACGTCATCCCAGGGTCGGTCGTCAACCCAGAACAAAAACCAACCCCCATATAGGGGCACACAAAGCCACTGTTGTGAACTTCGCCAAAATACCAAGACAGACAAACTGGTGTAGTTGACCTTTTAGATTGGTTTATATACGGAATGCGATTGCGCTCTACTGAATATGAGTATAACGAGGCGCACGTAAAATGCTGAACGTTTTAATTGTTGACACAATGTTCAGCCACCAGCCAATATGAATGTCGATCCTGAAGTCACACCACACGCCCAGCACGGACAACACCAGCCACAACACAAGAAACGACATTTGGTACGTTTGTTTGATGAACTTTACACTGTGAGAGCGAGAGTACACTCATGTGCAAAAGAAACGTCCCCAAGTATTTTTCAACTACCAAACAACACAAGCACAAACACGAATAGATATGAACGTTTAATATGCATTACGAAGGTGTATGTAAAGCATGTCTGACATAAAGAAAGAGAACGTGGTAAACCTAACAGTGGTACAGGGAATGCTGTCACATGGGGTCGATTGTCCAGTATTCGAGCGCAAGCCCAAACAACAAATGACAAAACAGAGGTTGAAATGGGAAGGCAGATACCGCGCATGTCCACCCCTTACACCGGTGCTCGTCAGAACACGTCGTCGGGCCGAGTGTGTAAGTCTCCTGATCACGTGACTGGGGAGCCGACGCATTTCTGTCTCTTGTGCCTCAACCAGTGCATTTCTCGTCAGTGGAGGGTGTGGAAGCTGTAGAATCCGACGTCCAAGATGGCCCAACAAGTGCTCTGTCGGAGGCATGTCAGGGTATCTTCTTGGCCAAGGCTGGACGGGCACGTTGTTGACGTTGAGAAAGGCCGTTCTGGCAAAAGCGGTGTGAGGTGTTCTATTGTCTTCTTGAAACAAGGTTCCTGGATATTGCGGGAAGAAAGGCAGGGCATGGGGCCACAGAACGTCATCAATATACCAACGGGCTGTCAAGCTGGCATCGATGATAACAAGGTCGGTCTTGGTGTTCCCACATGCCACCCCAAACCGTCACGCTCCCTCTACCATATGGTTCCGTTTTCTGAACGCAACAACGTGCCGTCCGTTCCCCACGCCGGTGGTAGACACGTCTTCAGTCTTCAGTTCTGTTCAAATGGAACCTACTCTCGACGCTGAAAAGGACCCGTTGCCGGTTCCGTTGCTGCCACTGATTCTGGCAAAAACCAATCTTCGCCGTCGATATTCCGGCGGTAAGGTCATGCCCCCTCAACGGTCTATAGGCTCTGATTTCCATGTTGACGTCGCCTGGACACTGTCCACCTTGTGACGCGATGACCGAGGCTAAGCACCGATGATGACGTCACGGCGAGGAATCTGTTGATTAAATTAAGCGTCCGTATATAACGGTCCTCTTGTGGGGTAGTGACTTCCGGTCGATCGCTCCTCGGCTTATGTGCTGTCCGGCCAGCTTGTCTGTAACGTGTGACCAATGTCCCAATCGTTCTTTTTGCACAACCCAGGATTCTTCCAACATGGTCGTGAGTTGTCCCCAGCATGCCAATCGCTCTTTCTATCTTTTCTGCTGTTAATCGAGGCATGTTCTGCTGGTTTTTCATATGATTGTGATTGCAAAGAACAGTTTCCAACGTGTTTTATAACCAATCTCAATACGGGTGATTTCCTGCCGATGCAGGAAATCACCCTGAATAAATCAATTTTCCCGCTTCTGGCATGCAACACGTGCATTTCCTTGGCGTGTCATACATTTGTGTGTTTGGGCAATGTGTTCCGAACAGTTTTTCATGTTTTTGGCCATATCCAGCAAATATAATACAATTTATATTTTGGGGATGTTTCTTTTGCACGTGAATGTAGCTGTGTGAGAGAGAGTAGCTCTGTGTGTGAATAGCTGTGTGTAGCTGTGTGTGAGAGAGTAACTATGAGTGAAAGTAGCTGTGTGAGAAAGTAGATGTATGTGAGAGTAGCAGTGTGTGAGAGTAGCCGTGTGTGCGAGTAGCTGTGTGTGAGTAGTTGTGTGAGAGAGTAGCTGTGTGAGAGATAGTAGCTGTGTGTGAGGGAGAAGCTATGTGTGTGAGAGAGTAGCTGTGTGAGAGAGCAGCTCTGTTTGTGAGAGAGCAGCTGTGTGTGAGAAAGTTACTGTGTGAGAGAGTAGCTGTGTGAGAAAGAAGCTGTGTGCGCGAGACAGTAGCTGGTGTGTTAGAGTAACTGTGTGAGTAGCTGTGTTTGAGAGAGAGAAAACCTGTGAGAGAGTAGCTGTGTGTAGCTGTGTGAGAGAGCAGCTGTGTGTGCGAGACTAGCTGTATGTGAGAGTAGTTGTGTGTATATGTGAGAGTAGCTATGTGTGTGAGTAGCTGTGTGTGTGAATAGTTGTGTGTATGTGAGAGAGAGAGTAGTTGTGTGTGAATAACTGTGTGTGAGAGTGTCTGTGTGTGAAGAGCTGTGTGTATGGGTTGAAAGAGTAGCTGTGTGAGATAGTAGCTCTGTGTGTGAGAGTAGTTGTGTGTGGCTTTGTGTAAGGGAATAAATGTAGGGAATGTATTTAGCTCTGTGTGAGAGTAGCTTTTCGAGTGTGTGTAGCTAGCTGCGTGAAAGCGTATGAATGGTTGTGTGTGGTGGGGGTAGTTCGTGGTTGTTGCAAAGGTTGACATTTTCAAGAATGGACCTGGACAACAATGGCGTGTTTATAGTGTGTCAGTATACCATGAATGTACGATCGTCGCTTGTGCTGCCGACAACACTAGAATAAACTGTAACAATATCAATTAACGACCTCACTCAAACTCGGCCTGACCAACAGGTTTGAAAAGACGCTGTATGTATTCACAAGCCAAGTACATACATACACAAACCATCGAAGCTGCGCGGATTGTTCATACGTGTCAACCACAACGAATAAAAATATAGCCACAACACTACGTGATGGTATAAATAGCACGGTGGTACATTTGTCAAACATAATCCTACTCCGTCAGCTGCCTGTTCTGTCACCAGACCGAGTGTAAACAACGTTCCACCCCGTAAGATAAAATGTCGGTGGAAGAAAAAAGAAGTGATGCATTAAGTCATACTGATATGAAAACCTTTACCGATATGCAGACAATTAAAGAAAAAGACGCGGACGTCAGGGAGGACAGTACAGTGCACGTGCTGGAAGAAAGCAGCGCGGACGTTGGAGTAAACAACCAAGGCGTGTTTGTCGAGCCAAGCAACAACCCCGCCACCATAGTTCGGAAAAGACAGTGTAGCCTGCGAGGATGTGTTATTATTGTTGCAGGGTGTTTAATACACCTCACACTTGGCACGCTATATTCATACGGTGAGTACAAAGAAAAATATTCTTTTATAATAATAAGAAGAAGAATATCCCGGCTTTCCATTTTTCTTATCCTGCTCAAAGCGCACAAACTAATTATTATTACCCCGGATAACCCAAGCGCAAGAAGGTTAATAGTCACATAACTTATCCCACCGGGCAACCATTTTCCGCTGGGCGAACAGAGGCAGTTTAGAACAAACTCACTTGCCTGAGGTGAGACCACATGTATCACGTGTGCTTCGTTGCGGGGCAGGACTCAAGTCCTAGAAACTCTCAGAAGTCAAGCTGCCAAACACGGTCGCCCATATAAGGACTATCCGCGTCCAACGTTGCTTAACTTACCTGATTTGTGACATGAGCTCTAGAAACAGAACCACGCACCACCATGTAAACAGACATATGTTTTTTAAATCGCTATATTGAATATCCTAGTTCAGTTATCAGTGTCTGTGACCTAGATGTATGTACACATGCATACCTGCTGGGTGTCACGAACAACAGGTAACACATGTTCAATGATATACGGCCCATGTATGAGCATGTTACTGGATTTATGGTCTCACATAAATGTCACTTGTTCGGGGATACACATTCATCACCCACAACACACAATGGCAATTAGGCTTTTTGGTTTGTTTGTTGTTTAACGCCGCACTCAGCAATAGTCCAGCTATATGGTGGCGGTCTGTAAATAATCGACTCTAGGCCTGACAATCCAGTGATCAACAGCATGAGCATCCAACTCAGCTAGCCTGACCACCCGATCCCGTTAGTTGCCTGTTACGACAAGCACGGGTTGCAATTCTAACCCGAATCTTCACGTGTGCACAACGGGTCAACCAACTCAGCTAGCCTGACCACCCGATCCCGTTAGTTGCCTGTTACGACAAGCACGGGTTGCAATTCTAACCCGAATCTTCACGTGTACTCTAGTAGCTAGGTAGAATAGAGTAGGATCATCCATGAATGTAAACGCCCGATGCCATTACAGTTGTTTCTTTAAGATCCTTTACAACCTTATTTAATGCTTAGGCTATTTTTGTAATATATATGTTTTTTATGTCTTCTCAGCCCACATAACTTCAAACGATATCATATTAGCGTACGAACATATTTGTGTATTAAACATCTCAATACAAATCTGGTCGCCATCTCTTTCATTTTTCTCCTCATCATATAAAATCGAAGAATTAGGGACACAATATTTTGTATTTCTGATTCCAGGCAACTTCAGTCCTTATATAATATCGTACATAAGGCGACGGTCCTCCCCAAGTGATCTCCGCTATGTAGATGGGATATGGATACAGGCGTGTATGATGATAGGCCAAGGGATCACGATGTTCGCCGGAGGGCTGCTCGAGAGGAAGCTCGGACCCAGAATAACCACGCTCATTGGATCATGGACCATGAGGTCAATAAAATAATGGGAATATAAACCAACATGAAATGTCGTTACCTGTATATACTTGTCGCGAATAGCTGTAAAATTGCTGATGAGGCGTAAAGCAACTTTCACTCACTCACTCACTCACTCTCTCACTCACTCACTCACTCACCTGTTTCTACACTGTAGCTGCATAAGACTTGCGATCGTCGTTTATGTTTTTAGTTTTACATGGAATAGTTTGTGCCAGTGAAAATATTGCAATGGTGGTTTAAGGACATTCTAAAAGTTGGTAAATATGATCAAAGCAAGACTTGTATGTACAGCAACTTCGCAATCGCCGATGTTTCGATGTGGATTTTTACCTCCTCATCAAGCTGGTGATTAGAACCAAGAGTGAGTGAGTGAATTGGGTTTTACGCCGTTTTAGCAACATACCTGCAATGGACACCAGAAATGGTCTTAACACGTTGTATACAGGTGGAGACTTGATCCCATGCCTTCGGCTTGGCGAGAGATCACTTTAATCACTAGGCTAGCCCACCGCCCCGATTACAACCACGAAATAGGAAGTATACAACATATACTTACACATAGAAGTGTATGCATAAACCATTAAATAAATCATAAACAGCAACAAGTAATGGATAACACGTAACACTCTAATACTGAATGAAGATGAAGGATCACACAAACGTCACTGAGGTGTTAACGGTAATATATACCCCCTCCTGTTCACCCTTGCAGTCTGGGAGTGATGCTCTCCTACTTCGCGATCCAGAGTTCCTACATAGCTACAGTCTTCACGTACGGCGTCATGTTCGGCATGGGTACAGGGATAGCGTACCCTATACCATTAGGCTGCGCCATGAAGGTTGGTCCAATATCATACGTCTATTCACAATCTCAGATGAACCATCGCGAAGTTGAAGTGTAAGTGTACGCAGCTGATCAAATACAATTCATGATGCTAAGATAAATTATTGAAAACAAACGTAAATAATCTTAAAATATTTTGGTGCAGATCGCTTCGTACTAACCATCGTTATGTGCGACCCGACCGTGTGTTGCCCGTTCACCAACAGTATTCCTTGTACACGTTATGATCAGGCAGTACTAGATCGAGTTATGGGACATAGTTTTGGTGGTGGGAGGTCCACCGCCTTGAAAAAGACGTTAAAAAAGGAGACTTATTGTCACCCTGTCAGAAAGAACATTAAATCTATATGAGTTAGTGAGTGAGTTTAGTTTTACGCCGCACTCAGCAATATTCCAGCTATATGGCGGCGGTCTGTAAAATAATCGAGTCTGGACCAGACAATCCAGTGAACCGATGACATGTGTCAACCAATTAGCGAGCCTGACCACCTGATCCCGTCAGTCGCCTCTTACGACAAGCATGGGTTACTGAAGGCCAGTTTTCTAACCCGGACCATCACAGGTCTAAATCTATAGATTATTGTAGTGCAATAATCTTGACAACGACGTTAATCCCTTTTCCACTCACCTCACTTCGCCTCACCCACGCCTTCCCACCCCAGTTCACCTCACCTAACACGACCCTACCTCACTTCTCACCCGATTCCACCTGACCCAACACGACCTCACCTGGATGTATTATGTTGTCAGTGGTTGCCGAACTGGAGGGGACTTGTGAGCGGTTCCATCATTGCAGGGTTCGGAGCTGGGGCTCTGGTGTTCAACCAGGTGATCACTGCCTATGTCAACCCAGAAAACTACAGCCCCGATAACAATGGTGATGGAGAGAAGTGAGAAACATGTGCTGATATAGCTACTGCTGTCTGTCGTTCTCATCATCGTCGTAGTCGTCATAATCATCATCACCATCACCACTATCATCATCATCATCATCACCATCATAATCATCACAAACACGATCATGAGGATGATAATCATCATCACCACCACCACTATCATCATCGTCATCATCATCACTATCATCATCATCATCACAAACACGATCATGAGGATGATAATCATCATCACCACCACCACTATCATCGTCATCATCATCACCACCACCATCATCATCATCACTATCATCATCATCATCATCATCACAAACACGATCATGAGGATGATAATTATCATCACCACCACCACTGTCATCACCATCATCATCACCATCATCATCACAAACACGATCATGAGGATGATAATCATCATCACCACCACCACTATCCTCATCATCACCACCATCATCATCATCATCATCATCATCATCACAAACACGATCATGAGGATGATATTCATCATCACCACCACCACTATCATCATCGTCATCATCACCACCACCATTATCATCATCATCACTATCATCATCATCACAAACACGATCATGAGGATGATAATCATCATCACCACCACCACTGTCATCACCATCATCATCACCATCATCATCACAAACACGATCATGAGGATGATAATCATCATCACCACCACCACTTTCATCATCATCATCATCACCATCATCATCATCATCATCACAAACACGATCATGAGGATGATGATCATCATCACCACCACCACTATCATCGTCATCATCATCACCACCACCATCACCACCACCACTATCATCATCATCATCATCATCACCATCATCATCATCATCACAAACACGATCATGAGGATGATCATCATCACCACCACCACTATCATCATCATCATCATCTCATCATCATCATCACCATCAGTAATTACACCACCACCATCATGATCATGGTTAAGAATGTATATATTTATATGTATTCATTACAAAGCGCTAAAATCTTTTTGAGATGGTTAAAGGCTCTCTATTTTATTCTCTAATGTTTATCAATAAAATTAAAAAACATGTAACTATAACTCTCTCCCAATTCACGCACTGCGTGACACCATTATAAACACCTATGCATTATAGGCGCATGTCTCCCATAGCGTAGTGCGTGTCACGACATATAGACGATGTTTTGTACCAATGACAGATCTGTGATTACAGCGTGTACCTTCTCTTCAGCTACTTCTCCCAGGATGTGGTGTTAGACCGGGTCCCCTACTGCTTCCTGGTGCTCGGGGGAACATATGCCGTGGTACAGCTACTATCCTGTCTGCTGTTGGTTGACCCTCCTGGGGAGGCTCAGGTACATAGCAACAGTTTGGTTTTTCTTGTTCTTGATGTTTTTTTGTTTAACGCCGGACCCAGCAATATTCCTGCTATATGACGGCGGTGTGTAAGTAATCGAGTTTGGACCTGACAATCCGGTGATCAAGAGCGAGTGAGTGAGTGAGTGAGTTATTATTTAACGTCACATCGGCAATATTTCAGCCATATCGTGACGAGAACATTTGACAGTAAGAAATAGAATATATATATAGATATTATAAAAACCTGCCGACGAAGGACAGTAAAAATACTAGATAATCACAGATATGAAAATATAAAACTAGCAAACAAAGCTAAAATATTCCAATGAAGACAATACAATGTAAAAATGGGCTATAGATCGCCAACAACTGAAGGTAGATCACCATACTAAGGCCCATGGGGGCAAGAGCGATCGAGGTAAGTGGAATACGATGACATGTGTCAACCAAGTCAGTTAGCCTGATCACACGATTCCCTTAGTCGCCTATTACTACAGGTATGGGTTGATGAAGATCAGTTTTTACCCGGATCTTCACGGGGAACAGAGAAACATTATCTTCAGCTCATGTAACACTGGGGCGGTGGGGTAGCCGAATGGTTCGCGCGCCTCGCTAAAGTCCCGGTTTCGATCCCCGACATAGGTACAACGTGTACATTTTCGTGTCCCCTGATATTGCCGACAATGCTAAATGCGGCAATGATGTCAGTCATGGATTGTCAGGTAGAAATTCCATATTTACAGACGCAGTCACATGGCTGGAATATTGATGAGTTCGAAGGTAGAGTGAGTGAGGTTTTATGCCGCTTTTTGCAATATTCCAGCAATATCACAGCGGGGACAGAAACGGGCTTCATACGTTGGCCCATGTGGGAATCGAACCATGGTCTTCAGCGCGACGATCGGACGCTTTAACCATTATGCTACCCCCACCCCACCACCCCTTCGAAGGTACACAAGAACCAAACACACCCATCACCAACCTTTCACTTGTTAAATATTTAAACAAAACTGTTGATTGACCATTCGTTAAACAACATCTATTGTTTAAGGGTGAGGTCGAAGTAAGAAGCTACAAAACTGCGGATGAAATGTGTAACATCAACGAAGGATTCTCTGGCGACGTGGAGATGACAAAGTCAACTTCTGAACCCGCTGTTGGTCAAGCCAAAGACACTGAGTGAGTTTACTCTGAAGCCAATAAAATTCAGATTTGATCATCGCTTTTAGTTTCAACAAAAACATTTAACACATATAATCTATCACTTAATTGGCTGGATGTATACAGACGTCACATGGCAGAAATACTGCCACACGGCATCAAACAATCACGTCGGGGGGGGCGGTCGAGGGGGGGGGGGGGCAAGACTTGCTTACAATATTCACGTATAGCTGGTGTCATCACTGATTTTCAGTTGTCGGTTCACATAACTTTCACTGTCCCTTCATCCTGAATGGAGTTTGTTTCGGCGGATAACTGAGAATTTATTCTGTGGTGTACACGTTTCTTATTATTTTTAAACACACAAATCTCACGCTTCTTCAAATCAGTTTCATATACTATTTTCCTGTATCCACATAGACAACCATTTCTTGTTCAGTTTTCACTGGGGTTTCACTGCTGATTTGATCTGTTGATTGCTAAACTGATCTGCATACAATGTATTGTACAATTGGGGACTTCACTCCTGAATGGATCGGTTCAATGTACAATTCGTGGTTTCACTGCTGAGTTGATCTGTTTACAGTACAGTGTAGGGTTTCAATACTTAATTGATCTGTTTACAGTACAGTGTAGGGTTTCAATACTTAATTGATCTGTTTACAGTACAGTGTAGGGTTTCACTGCTGAGTTGATCTGTTTACAGTACAGTGTAGGGTTTCAATACTTAATTGATCTGTTTACAGTACAGTGTAGGGTTTCAATACTTAATTGATCTGTTTACAGTACAGTGTAGGTTTCACTGCTGAGTTGATCTGTTTACAGTACAGTGTAGGGTTTCAATACTTAATTGATCTGTTTACAGTACAGTGTAGGGTTTCAATCCTTAATTGATCTGTTTACAGTACAGTGTAGGGTTTCAATCCTTAATTGATCTGTTTACAGTACAGTGTAGGGTTTCAATCCTTAATTGATCTGTTTACAGTACAGTGTAGGGTTTCAATACTTAATTGATCTGTTTACAGTACAGTGTAGGGTTTCAATACTTAATTGATCTGTTTACAGTACAGTGTAGGGTTTCAATCCTTAATTGATCTGTTTACAGTACAGTGTAGGGTTTCAATACTTAATTGATCTGTTTACAGTACAGTGTAGGGTTTCAATCCTTAATTGATCTGTTTACAGTACAGTGTAGGGTTTCAATCCTTAATTTATCTGTTTAGAGTACAGTGTAGGGTTTCAATACTTAATTGATCTGTTTACAGTACAGTGTAGGGTTTCAATACTTAATTGATCTGTTTACAGTACAGTGTAGGGTTTCAATCCCTAATTGATCTGTTTACAGTACAGTGTAGGGTTTCAATCCTTAACTGATCTGTTCAGTGTACCATATTTGCTTTCACTGCCGAAATAGTATGTTAATTGTACAATTCGGGGGCTCACTGTTGATTTGTTTCCTTGTTGATACATATTTATGTCCCCCCGTACATTCTGTAGTTGCAATTTATATCCCAGGGTTATCATTGTTCAAGTATATACACTAACCAAACGTACTACATTGACAAGTACGTACCATGTACCCAATCCAGTTGAGCATATGTTGTCCCGGCTCTTGACAAGTGAATGACATGTCACTCTGACCTCACGCAGTGTTTATGCCATCCTACAACCATGCGTTGTTGTACTACAGGTTTACCCCGTTGTCCCGGCTCTTGACAAGTGGATGACATGTCACTCTGACCTCAAGCAGTGTTTATGCGATCCTACAACCATGCGCACGGTTGAACATTGTCGTGCGTAAAGTCACCACCATTCACAGCAGCCGTAACCACTAACACCCTGCTCTATTGTAACCCTTCTTACATAACGCCCCTAGCATGTATAAACATATTCTATATGTAGAGAGACCTACTTCAAACCGGTCTCAGTGATACACCTGCCTTTGGCGTATACTGTAGGGTCCTCATACAAAGACGTGACACCTGTAACCCAGTGTGTTTTGCTGTTGAACAGGTTATTACCCTTTACATGAACAGCTAAGCCGGGACAGGCGTGTCTGTCACACAACAGATGAGTCGTGTTCACAATGGTTACGTGAAACGATGGCAAATATGTTACGACAATACATCAGATTCACTGTGTGAATGAGTATGGTTTTAAGCCGCACTTAGCAATATCCGCGTTCCGCGAGTTCAAACATATTGAGGAAAAACGAAAGAAAGTGAGTGAGTGAGTTTAGTTTTACGCCACTCTTATTCCAGCAATAAGGGGGACTCCAGAAATGGACTTCACACATTGTACCCATGTGGGGAATCGAACCCGGGCCTTCAGCGTGACGAGCGGACGCTTTAACCGCTTGGCTACCTCACCGCCCCAGATTCACTGTGAAGCAGCACCAACATAATTGTTCTATAAACTCATCGAAAATAATTTTATAATAATAACGACGGCGATTAACAGTGTGGACATGATTCCCGCCCTTTACCTATTCGAGGACACTCCTCAGAGCTGCACTATGGCGTCAGAATCTACCAAACCGAAAACACCGGGGAGTTGCAAACGAACCATTTCAAAAGTCCGTTATGCTTTGTTCTCCATACAGCCCTTCAATTGGTCGATTTGGTTAAGCAGAGCACTGCAGTGTTGGGGAGTATTCATAACTGTAAAGTTCTTGGTGGGTTCGAATAGTGGACTTGTTTGTTGTTACTTACCGCATGCACTCAGCAATATCGCTGTCATATCACAGCGGATTGCAAATAAGAGTCTTGACCAGGCAATCAAGGGATTGACATCATGTGCATCGATCCCGCAGTTGGGAGTCAACCATGTCAATGAACCTGACCACCCTATGCCGTTAGTTGCCTCTTACAACGAGCATTTCATGAAAGCCAGTTCTAAACCCGACCTTCACGGGTGGCTTGGAACAGAAAAGCCTAATCTTCCTTAAAGTAGCAGTCCCTTTATGGACAGACTGTTGCTCAGTCTCTAAATGTGTATAATTTTGGTGGAAAGAAATAATTTCATTTAATTTGAAAAGGGGCCTCGTAAGTTGGGAGATTCTGACCCTGGGGAAATATAGACTTCCTTCATTTAGGACTTTAGCATTGCAGAGAGGGCTGTACGGAAGGGAAAATAATGTGGTTCAGGGACCATTGGCGGATCCAGAGGGGGGTGCAGGGGTGTGAACCCCCTCCCCCTTTGGTGCTGAAAGTTTGTTAAATGACCATTGAAACGTGGGTGACATTGAAGTGTGCACCCCTCCTTTTCTCAATAGTGTGCAACCACCACCCCACCCCCTTCTCAAAAAGCTGTATCCATCCCTGGGGACTGTGAGACTATGGACTGCGCGTAGACAGGGCAACGACCCTGAGGTGATTGTGTGCTAAACCAGACTGACAGTCCTGAAACCGTTTTCTGCTATTTGCTTATTTTAATATGTAAGGTACAGTTATAACAACCGAATTAATTCGAATATCATTTATGGAAATTGATCAACAATCGTTAAGTATCCCCATTGTTTAATAGATGTGACTAGAATACTACTGACCCAGCGTTACTGTGTAACTCTCTCAATATTTCTGGACAGTGGCGCTGCTGGAGATGTTCCACCACAGAGGGTCCTCAAGTCCAAGAACTTCTACCTCCTGTGGCTTATATTCCTGTTTGGCGGAGAAGGGATTGTATTTGTTTCTTCACAATATAAGGTACATTTATTGCATGACGAAAGGGTATAACGTCATAGACCTTGAAGTGTTGATAATTCCGTCTTGTGTTATATCGTTCAAAGTGATACAAATCATATTCTCTTTTCCAGAATTACGGACAGACATTCATTTCTGATGACCACTATCTGGCAACTGTTGGGTCTGTGTCTTCAGTTTTCAATGCAGGAGGCAGCATTTTCTGGGGATTCATCATGGATCGCTTCTCCTTTAAGGTACTACTACTACTACAACTACCACCACCACCACCACCACCACCACCACCACTACTACTACTACTACTACTACTACTACTACTACTACTACTACTACTACTACTACTACTACTACTACTACTACCTCCACCACCACCATTACTACTACTACTACTACTACTACTACCACTACTACCTCGACTACTACCACTACTACTACTACTACTACTACCGATACTACTACTTCTACTACCTCTACTACAACTACCATTTCTACTTCCACCACCACTACTACTACAACCACTACTTCTACTAACTACTACTACTACTACTTCTACTACTATTACTTCTACTACCACTAACACGACTACCTCTACTACCACTACTACAACTACCACTTCTACAACCACTACTACTACAACTACGACTTCTACTACTATTAATTCTACTACCACTAACACGACTACCTCTACTACCACTACATGTACTACTCCTACTACCACTACTACTAACTACTATCACTACTCATTTTGTGTTAGTGACAGTGTAATGTTAAAACGCAATTTTGAACTAATTCTCTAAGGAACTATTCATATAAAGTTAATAGGAAATGGGCGAACTCAACTAATTTGAAAGCGATGTATAATGTAACATATACTCCTCACAAAATCTTAAGCAACAAGTTTGTCCAGTGGTATATCTTTATCAATCTCGACAGCGATCTTTGCCGACATGTTACTGAAAGGTAAATATTCAAAGAATATATAACCTTTAGCGACTGTCAAATTGATTTATCTGATAACATTGACAACATCACCCGAACACAACAACCTCAGAAACAACATGCAAAATGTGTGGCATGAATGTACTCCACTCTTCACACATGCACCCTGATCGGTGTAAACCTACCTGTAATCATTCCTCTGGCACAACAAGCGGGCCCTAACTTCATTTTTATGGATGATAATGCCCGTCCATGGATGATAATGCCCGCGAAAGAGTTGTTAACGATGTTGTTTAGATCATCACACATATGGACTGGCCTGCAATGTCACTTGATCTGAATCCCATTGAACATGCTTGGGACATTACCTTAAGTCGTGTTTACGGTCTCCATGTTCACCCCCAGACTCTGGATGACTTTAAGCAGGCGTTACAGAGATAATGGCAGAACATTCCACAACAGCAACTTTAACGGCCCATTTAGTAAATGCGTAGAAGCTTGCATTTGTGCTCATGGTGGTCATTCGCGTTACTGAACACTGTTTCACTGTCCAAAACTGACTTGAACCTTAATGTTAACATTTTGTTCCATCAGTGCAGCACATTTTTCACGACTGTTTCGCGGGTACATGCTTTTGGTGATTTGTAAGTCTATTATTGCTCAATACCATTTCATTTCATTTTGGTAATCGTGTGTACATATGTTTCACCTTTCTATGGCATCATTCCATGATTTGCAATTTCAATAAATGAACATGTAATGAGACTAAGAAATTTGTGTTGCTTAACTTTTTGTGAAGAGTATATGTTATATTTGGGATTACACTTTCTAAATGAAGTACTAGAATCTGAGTGCGGCGTTAAACAACAAGCAAACAAACTCGAATGGCATTACCTTTAGTCTGTCTTTATCCATTTCTGTCGCATATATTATCGCATGGTCTGCTCATGGCCTCTTTCCTCAGATTGCAGCCCGGTGTATCTATATTGCATTCGCCTGCCTCATTGCCTCGTTCCTGGGGTGTGAATACACTGACAGGGCGATGTTCTTCGTCTGGGTGTGCCTCATCTTCTTTGCCTTCTCCGGCGTCTTCTCCATCATGCCACCTGCAATAGCCCGGATGTATGGGAACACGTATGTCGGCGTCAACTTTGGCCTTCTTTTCACATCCCAGGTAAGACAATGTATGGACTGGTACACTGTTCCCTGCATACTATTAATGTTTTGTAATTCAGGTATTTTAAATCGTTTAGCGAAGTTTTCCTTGCATTCAAACAACGTAACAATTACCTTAACAAAACTGGCACAACCCATTAAGTGTATGTTTATTGACCTTGTACAGTGTTATGGCGCTCCAGATTTCAACTTTCATGATATGACTTATGTAACTGTATAATGGGTCTGTGGCCCCTTTATTGAATAAACCAATTATTAATAATGTTTTGTAGCCCTTGTAAAGAAGATCACATAGTTTCTTGACACAATAGATCCACAGTACCCCAAGGCAAGAGTTGATTCTGACAGATGCCTGAAAAGATTTAATTCTCTGTTTCTGATCAACAAGAAGCCCCCATGATTAAAGTCAAACAATGCTCATTCCTGGATTTTGTATCTTTTAATGCCTGCATGAATGCGGATGGATTTTATAGATGCATGTTCTTCTGGCATTGGCTTTATACACCAACCAGTGTTATTATTGAACAGTTCCTACAAGAAAGTTGGATGGAGTTCGTAATTCACTCATCTGTGTGAATCTGAAAAGTACACACTTCCTTACCCTGTCGTAATATGGTAATGCTAGGCGCCGATACATCTAGTTGTAAGATTTGTTCTTTATTCAATAGTTGAAAAACTTCATCAGGTGAAGTTGTAAAACTTCATCGTGATCAGTGTTTCTACTAATTTGGCTTGATGTCACATCAGATCATTACTGGTGCTACCAGTGCCTTCCTCGGGCAAATCCTCAAAGATTCCATTGGTTGGCATGGCCTGTTCTTCCTGTCCACTGGTTTCACTGCAGCCGGTAAGACGTCGACAATTTGAATTGCATACGGAAATAGTATCTGCCAACACCGTTCCAAGTCATACTTCCAGTTTTTTGTGGAAGCCGAGGTGGCTGAGTGGGTTAGATCGCTGACTTTGTGTGCTGGAGATTAGGTGCCCGACTCTGAGAGTCTGGGTTGAGAAAAAACAAAACAACAACAACAAAAGTACTGGAATCTGTACTTCACTGAGAAAGTGTAATCTCAAATATGTAACATTTGACCACTTTCTAAACGACATTGTGTATTTAAAACATAAAGTTAACTCCCTTCAGTTCAATGTATAATTGGGGCGGTTGGGTAGCCGGGTGGTTACGCCATTGCTAAAAGAGGCGTAAAACTACTCTCACTCACTCACTGTATATTTTTGCGTCATCTCCACAATAAACCTTAAACAGTAAAGGTTATTACGTTCTAATTATACAATGATTCGTTATGGCTAAAAGGTCTTCAAGTGTGAGTTGTAACCTGTACATCTATTCTTTTCAGGTTTTATCGTTATATTTTTCCTGAAAACGAAAACAACATCGGGGGATGATTTCTGAAACAGATGAGATTTCCACATTTTGCATCAACCACAAGGTGGATCTGTATAGAGGTATACCTACACACACAGCGGATGACCACGCCCAGCTGAACACTGTCGTTCATTTGCCGATATCACGTGATGACCTTGTCAACGGAGCGGAGAGATACAGAACTACTTTAGGGTGCTTTCCCAGTGTCCAACCTTACGTGAAACAGGGACGGTATCTTCACATGAAAGTATCTTTATATTGCGCACATCCCAACAATAATCCAAGTGGTTTCAAATAGATAGCTAATTTCGATCGCTTTACATATTTTACTACAGGTACCGCTCTACTTAACAAATGATATCCCTCATGTGCCACACTGTCATGTATTCCGTCGGGAAATCCATCCGCCCTGTCACCAACGGTTTATCTTGCATTAGTGTACCCCAAACCCACATCCAGAATACACAAAACGTTCACATTAATCCATTCTCAGCAGCAAACGTGTCCGTTCTAAATTTCTGTTTCTTGTCAGACAGTGTTTCATCAGGTGATGAACGTGACGGAATACAACTTCAGCCTTAATATCTTCATACACACCGAAATTAATTATAGACCACTCTTAAACAACATAACTATCTATATCTTTACAAACCGTCTGGGTGATGGAGGTAGCCTAGTGGATAAGCGTTCGCTCGTATGTGAAGCCCACTTCTGTGTCCCCCACCGTTATATTGCTGGAATATTCCTAAAAGCGGCGTAAAACTAAACTCACTCTCTCACTTACAAAATGTCTGCACACAACAGCTTTCATGATACGGGACAGGGAGTGAGTGAGAGAATGAGTAAGTGAATATAGCTTTACGCCGTTTCTATCAATATTCTGGGGAGACTTTGTCTTGAAATACACTTCACATGCTGTACCCGCGTGGGGAATGAATCTGGGTGTTTGGCGTCATGGTAGGAAGAAAACAGAACAGTGCAAGTTGTAAGGATTGTTCCTTTGACTCCACAAAAGCATCATATAAGTTTTACAGCATTCGTCACCGAAAACACTGGACAACCTTACAACGACTAACACTGGTTCATCACACAAAGATTATACTTTGTTCGTAATGGTGCCATTGTATAAATCACATGTATATTGGGGTTTTATTCACCACAGCTATAAAATTGGAAGTTCAAAAACTATATAAGGATTTCCTTACAGGCATGTAAACATACAATGTAAATAACAATTAAACCACAAAGTCCTGATATACCAGATATAAATCAGCGACGTTCTGAACACCACAGTCTTCGTGTCGTTGCCATGATGTCACTAGGAATGGCGCAGACTGAAGTTGTTGGACATGCTGATGTTCATCGAAACACAATATCATCTCTTTGGATATGTTATCTATAGCAGAGCAACGCACATAAAATGTCATGGTCCGTTCGTCCTCTTGTGGCACCATCGACAACCATATTTTGTTGGTGCAGCTGCTGAGTCGATATTATATTCGCCGCTGCCTTGCCTGTATCAGCGCAAATGGTGGTCAGATCCGATATTGAGATAATTAAATGAGTTATTACACTACCCCTTTTCTGTGCTTGTCGCTGAATCTACAGTTTTGTTTTGTCAATGATTATGTTTTGAAAAAAAGCATTGATCAGCTGAATCATCAAATATCATGTTGTTATTTTAACTAGTATGTTGTTATCTTTAATAACATTGACACCCCTGTATATGAAGCAGAGTTATTTCCCCGCTTGTATATATTAATATATATATATATATATACTTTGTATCTTATACACTTACATATATCTACACGATATAATGTCATGTACATGATCCATTTCTTATAAATAAAAGCGAAAAACTGATTTCCATGGTGTTCGTGAGGTGGGCGTGTGCTGCCTCGCAGGTGGTACCCGTCAAAACACACGCAAAGGCAAATCAGTTTATCCCTTGAAGACATATAGGCAATACTGTACTAGTAGGGAATTGCATCACTGGCATGTATGCTTAAACATAAACGGCAAACGTCTTTGACATAACACATGTCCATGTCATGTCATATCAAGAATGACCTTCGATTTTTTTTCAAACACACTTCCGTTAAATGTGCGGGGAGTTAAAGATACCGAGACGATCCAAACAAGGGAAATTGGTTTCAACAAGCCTGTTGTTGAGTTCTTGTCCGGGGCGGACGTTTGTATACGTCGCCAACACTTGCCCATTTTTCAGTGGAAGGTTCCTCAACATCTCCAACTGCAAAGAAAATGGGGAGGGTTTATGCAGAAAATCCAAAGGCTTGGTAACATCTACAACTGCACCACTGTCTAATATGAATATGATAACGCGTTGCCAATCACACCATTACTGAGACACCCTCAACGTCTAACGTCAAAGGCATGAAAACGCTCATTCCGTCAACGCCACACTCAGTCAACGTTGCGTCAGTCAAGGAAGTCTAAAGTGAACCTTGATTCATCCGAAAACATAACGTTTGCCCAACGACGATTGGTCCAGAGCTCCGCTGTTGTTATTTATCTGTCGATATAGTAATTGCCATCTCCTAATCACTGAGGGGCGGTGGGGTAGCCTAGTGGTTAAAGCGTTGGCTCGTCACGCCGAAGACCCGGGTTCGAATCCCCACATGGGTACAATTTGTGAAGCCCATTTCTGGTGTCCCCCGCCGTGATGTTGCTGGAATATTGCTAAAAGCGGCGTAAAACCAAACTCAGTCAGTCAGTCAGTCCTAATCACTGACAAGATTTCGTGCCACAATGCTCTGTCTTTTTCCAACTTCCCACATGCCAAGTGCACATGGCCGCCCATGACCTGACACGCGGCGTCACCAAATCCCGTTTGCTTGATTTAAAAAAAATGTCAGAACCACTATTAAACTGTTTTTATCATTTAAATGTACAGCAACACACTGACATGTTTCACAGCAGTTTTCGAATTTTACCTCGACGATATTCTAGTCTATGTCATTAACAAACTCTTGCACGAAATTGGCGTGTTCATTACAAGTTGTAAATGGAATTATCATTTTCTATATGCAAAAATGCCAAGTGATTTACAAATGATGTCAACCCAAACTGAAATGTTCCCTAAAGTTTAAATAGTATATACTATATATAAGCAAGCGGACTTTCATTACGTACCCCTCTTGCACTCAGCTGTAATGGGTACCTCATAACGAGCCACAGTACTGACTCCGAACATGGCGGAGACGTGAGCGAACCCTCATACATGAAGAACTCCTTACTGCGCGGGAGTAGCCGGAGAGGCCTCATTGATGCCTTGAGTTTCGCATCTGTAGGAATACATGTGTCATAATGAAGATACATGACGCGTTTCGCAGTGTGCTTGTTGGAAATAATTCATATTTTCTTTTCGTTTTTGTTTCGAGTTCAGATTTTTTGCATACATCATTTATATTTAAATATGTGAATCAGATTTCGTTTTTGTTTACACCATAAAAATGGCTATACCCGATGGTCAAGGTCAACGAGGTAAATTTGAAAGTGAAAGTATACTTAGATGGAGAGAGTTAAGGGGGAGTGGGAACCTTTAAGGCAGAGTAAAAGTTTCATTAACAATACCAGGGATGGTGCGGAAATATGGGGACTTTTACTTTGATTACACAGCAAAGGTACATTTATTTGCGTGCAAGAAATTCCTCGGGGTAAAGATGAGCACATCAAATGTTAAGGTATATGGGGAATGTGGCAGATACTCGCTCATCATATCTTCACAAATCAGGGCGATTCAGTATTGGATAAGGTTATTCAGTATGCTATCCTACCGGTTACCGAAAAAATGCTATAATATGATGTTACTATGACAAAGAAGGTAAAAAGAATTGGATAACAGATGTTAAACACCTACTTTTTTCAACTGGATTTAATCATTTATGGTATGAACAAAACGTTGAATGTTCGTCATTGTTTTTGCATACATTCACGCAAAGATTAAAAGATATTTACCAGCAAAAATGGTTGGAACAATTTCAGTAGCTACAAAAATATTTAAAACACACATTTATACTGAACGTTATTTATCATGTGTTAACGTTGAGAAATATAGAATAGCCTTAGTTCGTTTCCGTTGCTCATCAAGTATCAAAAGAGAGGATAGAATATGTAGATGTTGTATCAATACTGCTATAGAAGACAAATATCATTTTCTTCTACTATGCCCAGCTTATAATACTATTCGTAAAAAAAATATTAAAGAACTCTATTTTGTTCATCCATCAATCAATAAATTTTCTTCTCTATTGAATTCTCCAAATGAATTTGTGATTAAAAATGTTGCGGTTTTCATTTATCAAGCCATGTTGATTAGAAAATTGTATATATGAAATATACTATAGGATTGTGGCCTCCTCAGTACTGAAGTAAAGATTGATTGGTTAATACAGTGATGTGTGCGAATGAATAAAGGATAGCAGCTGTGTGTTATTCAACAGTGGTAAAGGTCACTAAATGACACAATAAAGTTTACTTACTGTAAATTGTGCACAACAATGATAGAATATCTTCTTGGAAACACATACGGAAAGTCGGATGTACTGACAATGGTAGTTTATGTTTTGCATGAGTTTGGTTCGTGTGTAAAGGAACACTGTACCGTTTGCTTTTAACCTTGACACCAGTCGGACATATCGTCTTAACTGGCTGTTTGGGGTTGTTCTGGCTTCCTGAAGCAAAAACGTGATAACTCACCACCTGTTTTAAATGAGATTTGAGAAGATTGCATTTTGATTGGCATCAATATGAAGCACATTATACTTACATTTCAATCTCCTAATTGCAGTTCGTTATCTTCTTGCAGTATCTACAATGAGCCAACATGTTTCCACCTCTTACAGTCCGTTTGGCTCAAAAGCGGACCGATGAATTGCAATCTGACTCGAAAACTAATAAACATAAAATACTCAATGAAACGCTGATCATGATCAAAACATCATACCCACTCTGTGATTTTTTTTTGCAGAATTTTTGTCCTAAAAATAAAAAAGTTGTTTAACAATCTATCATTAAAATATTGACACAGTTCACTATTTGTTACGAGGGAGGAGTGCAGAGAACGGGACAGCCAGGTGTTCGAGAACGGATGGAGACGGCACAGCACAGGTTAATGAATAAATAACTTTGTCTGTGAACGTGCTTCGCGAACACCTGGCTGTCCCCTTTCTCTGCACTCCTCCCTCGTAACAAACAGTGAACTGTGTAATCTTAATGTAATCGTGTGATCTTACGTGTCACACATGATGACATGAAACCGAACCGGTGTAAAATGTTTAAGTACGTGATATGCGTTTCAGTGTTTATTGAAGCAGTGATTAGATATGAAATTATTGTAGTGCGTTTTAAAGGTAACATAGATGTAAGTAATAGGCCTTGCTAATGTGAATATGAATTACATCCCTACATTTCCCTTGGTCACATGCAAGCGTGGTATTCTAAAACGTCAAATTGTTGTGCTTTATCGTTCGTTTCTTAAATTTCGTAGACTTTTGCCAAAAAGAGTCCTTGCCCTTTTATGTACTTTACCGCAAAGTGGGTTAATCTTTGCCTGGGAGCCTTTGAGCAATTTATTGGAACAGGCGCTATATAAATAATAACTTTAGTTTATTTTTTTGTATTTAATCTTTACAATTAGGGATGTCGCGATACGCGAATGTATCGATGCATCGATACATTTTTACTGACGATACGATACGCGATACATGCTTGCGTGTATCGATTCCTATTTTAAAACTTTATCAATTCAAATTTTTATGCTATATCCATCTCCTTCAAAGTCTTGATAGTAAAATTATACGAGACAGCTCCGATAAATAGATGTAGCTAGCTTTACTTGAAAAATAGGTTGGAAACTAACATCTTTTGTGATTGGCTAGACTATTTTGATGGACCAATCAGCGAGCGCGTACGTTGCCGGTAAGGTAATGCTATGAAAAGGTGCGAAAATTATGTATCGCGATACGTATCGTATCATGACCTTAAAATCGTGATACGTATCGTATCGTGAGATTGGTGTATCGTGACACCCCTATTTACAATCATCAGGGGGGCGGTGGGGTAGCCTAGTGGTTAAAGCGTTGGCTCGTCACGCCGAAGACCCGGGTTCGATTCCCCACATGGGCACAATGTGTTAAGCCCATTTCTGGTGTCCCCCCGCCGTGATATTGCTGGAATATTGCTAAAAGCGGCGTAAAACTAAACTCAGTCAGTCAGTCAGTACAATCATCAGGGATGCTATTGTCATTAACGTGGACACAGGTACAACTTCGACTGTAACGTTAAAAGTGCGTAAACAATACAAGATGAAATGTGTCACTCACCTGTATAGGTGAGGTGAGGTGAAATTGGGGTTTAACGTCGCTCATATGACGACGTGCATGTGTGTGTATGTGTATGTGTGGCTGCTTGTACTAGTCCAGACTGAAGCTGGTTTTATAGTGCTAGCCCGCTGAGACACCATGCCGCAGTGAAGCATGAATACCCCACAATGCACTCAGACACATTATACTGACTCCGAGCCGAGCAGTCCTTGTTGTACCCATTAATGCCGAGCGCCAGACAGGGACCAACAAGTACCATATTTTAACGTCTTTTGGTATGACGCGGTCGGGGATCGAACCCGCGACCGTCCGCTCTCTGGGCGGACGCTACTCACCTGTATAAGGACTGCAATGACCACAAGTCCATCCCGTTTGGCCGTCGCCTCCGTTATACCGCTATACTTCCTGTTATAGTGCACAAGATGAATCTGGGACAGAAAGATCACGTGGGGTTATTGCGAAGATAAAGAATGATAAATCCTTTCGCATAACAACATGAGAATTTGTTTTAGTTATTTTACACAATTACTAGACTTTGAATACTGCCGTCATTAGCCTAGTGGGTAAGCATTCGCTAGTCACGCCGAGGACCCGGGTTCGATTCCCCACATGGATACAATGTGTAAAGCCCATTTCTGGTCCTCCTACCGGTTCTTGGCAGGTTCTTGGAGTTTATGAACTTAAAGTTCATCCTCATTCCAGGATCCCCCTCGACATTCCGACATTCTATCTCGAGGTGCGCAGGAATGTGCAGCTAGTGACATCGGAAAAGTTGATTTAATAAAGTATCAGCAAATGTCCCACATGACTCGTTCTATCTGTCCGTTTCGTTTCACCGCTCAGATTCAAACTCGAATAGATGCACAATTGCATATGCGGCGTTGAGAACTATTCACTCACTCACTCTGATTCCAGCATTCACTCACTCTACCCACCTCTGCCCCGTACCCTGTGTCCTCCACCCAGTGCTCGGAGCCTGTGTCCTCTGTGATGCCGGCATGGTAGTGTATCTCCCCCAGGGTGAACCTGCTGCCCTCACGGTGGGGCACGTCATATAGAGACAGTCTCCCTTTGGGAAAGGTCATTGAAGCTGTTTGCCCTGTGGATATACAGAAGACGTGGTTCACACAGGCAAGTAAAGTCAACATGGATTGCCCTTACGGTGCATTCCATCATTGGGTTAGTACCTATGCCATGTTATATACACGGCATTGTAAAATATACACATGGAAAAAAGTATTGCAACACCTATGATTTTTAAACCGCATATAGGCATTTATGTTCATGTCATAATTATGTTTGTTTGCATCATTATTTTGAATCTTCGAGCACAATATACAATGAGTCTCGAAATGCACATGCTACGATCAAAATTAATGCAGCCCACTGGCCAAAAACATGAACAAACGTCAGCGTTCAAGTCACCACTTGACCACGATTGACAACTGGAGAGGATATAGCCCTTCCCAGAACCATAAGACTTCATCCGTTCATGTCAAGTGGTTTGGTAAAAACAGAGTGGCTTGCACATCGTCGTTTGTCCAACAGAAATAACCACACATTTTAACGTCGTGTGGCCATATCAGCACTACAAAATGAGTCAATTCTTGCCAGACTTGCATCTACGAATAAACTTTTTTTTTTCTTTTTGCGTTTAGAATTACCATTTAATTATTCCTTGAGGGTTGGGTTATCCAGATAGTGAGTCTAATTAAGCTTTGGATACGTTCCTAGGCTATGGTTCATGGTAACATATTGATGCTATGAAAAATATTGGGTGTTGCGTTACTTTATTCCATGTGTATGTTACATAGTGTTAAACTATGTACGCTCTCTGTGCAAGATCAGCCGAACCAGCGCCAGAACATTTCTAGAAGCTCCTAAAAAATCTATATAAAGGGACAAGCACATGCCTCTATAATACCACAATATACTTCAAGACACGGGGTTGGGTGAAGATCATCTTTTCACCATCGATGTTCACTTATAGGTCTATATTGGAAGCTCGTCACTTGCGGCTAGGTGAAGATCATCTTTTCACACTCGATGTCCACTTATAGGTCTATATTGGAAGCTCGGCACTTGCGGCTAGGTGAAGATCATCTTTTCACACTCGATGTCCACTTATAGGTCTATATTGGAAGCTCGGCACTTGCAGCTAGGTGAAGATCATCTTTTCACACTCGATGTCCACTTATAGGTCTATATTGGAAGCTCGGCACTTGCAGCAAGGTGAAGATCATCTTTTCACACTCGATGTCCACTTATAGGTCTATATTGGAAGCTCGGCACTTGCGGCTAGGTTAAGATCATCTTTCACATTCGATGTCCACTTATAGGTCTATATTGGAAGCTCGGCACTTGCAGCTAGGTGAAGATCATCTTTTCACATATTGGAACCTCGATGTCCACTTATAGGTCTATATTGGAAGCTCGGCACTCGGCTAGGTGAATATTAGTATCACTGGCCTTGTCGCTATTGCCACTGTGTTGTTAAAAAGAAACATTATACTGTCATTGTATTGGTACTGCAACTTGACTGTGTACCGCCCAGTGATAAATATACCTCAACTTAACATTAGGATGTGGTTATTGTTGAGTAAATGATGGCTAAATCATCTGATATTCGTGAAAATTATCTGATCTCAAATATCATATCCTAAGTAAGCCGTTGGTCAAACTGGTACTTTGTGTTACTTGACACACATCTATGTCATGTGGTCGGTGCATCTGCATGTGCATCTGTATGTTTCAAAGTAGCGAGCACTGTTCAACTCCTTCAACGTAGAGAGCACTGTTCAACTGCTTCAACGTAGCGAGCACTGTTCAACTCCTTCAACGGAGCCAGCACTGTTCAACTGCTTCAACGTAGCCAGCACTGTTCAACTCCTTCAACGTAGAGAGCACTGTTCAACTGCTTCAACGGAGCCAGCACTGTTCAACTCCTTCAACGTAGAGAGCACTGTTCAACTGCTTCAACGTAGCGAGCACTGTTCAACTCCTTCAACGGAGCCAGCACTGTTCAACTCCTTCAACGTAGAGAGCACTGTTCAACTGCTTCAACGGAGCCAGCACTGTTCAACTCCTTCAACGTAGAGAGCACTGTTCAACTGCTTCAACGTAGCGAGCACTGTTCAACTCCTTCAACGGAGCCAGCACTGTTCAACTGCTTCAACGTAGCGAGCACTGTTCAACTCCTTCAACGGAGCCAGCACTGTTCAACTGCTTCAACGTAGCGAGCACTGTTCAACTCCTTCAACGGAGCCAGCACTGTTCAACTGCTTCAACGGAGCGAGCACTGTTCAACTGCTTCAACGTAGCGAGCACTGTTCAACTGCTTCAACGTAGCGAGCACTATTCAACTCCTTCAACGAGTGTTCAACTCCTTCAACGTAGCGAGCACTGTTCAACTCCTTCAACGGAGAGAGCACTGTTCAACTCCTTCAACGTAGCGAGCACTGTTCAACTGCTTCAACGGAGAGAGCACTGTTCAACTGCTTCAACGTAGCGAGCACTGTTCAACTCCTTCAACGTAGCGAGCACTGTTCAACTCCTTCAACGTAGCGAGCACTGTTCAACTCCTTCAACGTAGCGAGCACTGTTCAACTGCTTCAACGGAGCGAGCACTGTTCAACTGCTTCAACGTAGCGAGCACTGTTCAACTGCTTCAACGGAGCGAGCACTGTTCAACTCCTTCAACGTAGCCAGCACTGTTCAACTGCTTCAACGTAGCCAGCACTGTTCAACTCCTTCAACGTAGCGAGCACTGTTCAACTCCTTCAACGTAGAGAGCACTGTTCAACTCCTTCAACGGAGAGAGCACTGTTCAACTGCTTCAACGTAGAGAGCACTGTTCAACTCCTTCAACGTAGCGAGCACTGTTCAACTGCTTCAACGTAGAGAGCACTGTTCAACTGCTTCAACGTAGAGAGCACTGTTCAACTCCTTCAACGTAGAGAGCACTGTTCAACTGCTTCAACGTAGCGAGCACTGTTCAACTCCTTCAACGTAGAGAGCACTGTTCAACTGCTTCAACGGAGCGAGCACTGTTCAACTCCTTCAACGGAGCCAGCACTGTTCAACTGCTTCAACGTAGCGAGCACTGTTCAACTGCTTCAACGTAGCGAGCACTGTTCAACTGCTTCAACGTAGCGAGCACTGTTCAACTGCTTCAACGGAGCCAGCACTGTTCAACTGCTTCAACGGAGCGAGCACTGTTCAACTCCTTCAACGTAGAGAGCACTGTTCAACTGCTTCAACGTAGCGAGCACTGTTCAACTGCTTCAACGTAGCGAGCACTGTTCAACTCCTTCAACGGAGCGAGCACTGTTCAACTCCTTCAACGTAGCCAGCACTGTTCAACTGCTTCAACGGAGCGAGCACTGTTCAACTCCTTCAACGGAGCCAGCACTGTTCAACTGCTTCAACGTAGCGAGCACTGTTCAACTCCTTCAACGTAGCGAGCACTGTTCAACTGCTTCAACGGAGCCAGCACTGTTCAACTGCTTCAACGTAGCGAGCACTGTTCAACTCCTTCAACGGAGCCAGCACTGTTCAACTGCTTCAACGTAGCGAGCACTGTTCAACTGCTTCAACGTAGCGAGCACTGTTCAACTGCTTCAACGTAGAGAGCACTGTTCAACTGCTTCAACGTAGCGAGCACTGTTCAACTGCTTCAACGGAGCCAGCACTGTTCAACTGCTTCAACGGAGCGAGCACTGTTCAACTCCTTCAACGGAGCCAGCACTGTTCAACTGCTTCAACGTAGCGAGCACTGTTCAACTCCTTCAACGGAGCGAGCACTGTTCAACTCCTTCAACGTAGAGAGCACTATTCAACTCCTTCAACGGAGCGAGCACTGTTCAACTCCTTCAACGGAGCCAGCACTGTTCAACTGCTTCAACGTAGAGAGCACTGTTCAGCTGCTTCAACGTAGCGAGCACTGTTCAACTGCTTCAACGTAGCGAGCACTGTTCAACTGCTTCAACGTAGCGAGCACTGTTCAACTGCTTCAACGTAGCGAGCACTGTTCAACTCCTTCAACGGAGAGAGCACTGTTCAACTGCTTCAACGTAGAGAGCACTGTTCAACTGCTTCAACGTAGAGAGCACTGTTCAACTGCTTCAACGGAGCGAGCACTGTTCAACTGCTTCAACGTAGCGAGCACCGTAGTCTTAATTCATTGAAGACACGCGGTGAGTGTGTGCTAAGACGCGTGGAAGCCAAAAGTACTTTTTACACAGAGCTACCCTGAAACCTACCATCGTTATATGTGACTGACGACACGCATGTAGCTTGAGGCTGTCTGTATGTGAGAGTGTAGGGCTGACCGCAGGCTGCCCCCAGAGTAGTCAGATGTACGGGAGACTGCTTCCCTCCCCTACAGCAGGGAGAGATCACGTGCCATCGCAGTGGACCTGCAATATAAGCATAACGTAGAACAGGTTGAATGGCCTGAGTTACACTAACATTTAGTCTCTAAAATGAACATGTATACATTTTAAAAAAAACGGCTGCTGAATTATGTTAATAAAATACAATAAAAAGGAGACAGAAGACTTTTTTCATTTGGTAATTTAGACTTGCCACATATTCTAGACTTGCATGGGCTGCATTGAGTATATTTGCTTCACTGTCGGCATGACAGACTAGGCCTGAGTATTCATCTTATAGCCATTCAAGCCGATTCATAATGAAAGCATCACTGAAATATGCTTTCTGGACCATCGTGATCCCTGACACACAAAAGTAATGTTATCAATGAATTGGTCGGCCATTCCTTCTAGGCCAGTCTGAACAGCATCGTCTTAATAATGGGAACAAAAATATCTCTTCAGACTTGATCATAATCCGTCGGTTTGTAATTACTACCCACCTGAGTGCTGTAAGAACAGGTGACAATGCATGCTTACTGAATAACGTGCTTGACTGCCGATATGTAGATTTGGTATTTATTCATTAATGTGAAGAGGACATATATGTGAATAACTCACAGGAATCAGGAGTTAATATAAATGGAATGATTCTTCTATCACACGACACACGTCACATGACACATGTCATCGGTTCCCAGTTGCGTAGATGGATGCTCATGATGTTGGTCACTGGATTGTCTGGTCCAGACTCGATTATTCACAAACCGCCGACATATAGCTGGAATATTGCTGAGTGCGGTGCTAAACAACAAATACACGGGAAATTTTATCTACGTACAGAGGTTAATTTTTAAGCTTCACTCATAGTAGGACAGTACTTCAGTAGAAAGGCATTGGTTGTTTTGAGGGACTGAGGAATATTCATATTGTTCAAGGTCAAATAGTTGCACGGCTTGTTCCCTAGCCTAATCTATGGTTTCAGAATAGAAATTGATGTGTGATTACAATGTTAAGGTGGGGTGAGGTGAAATTGGGTTTAACGTCGTGCTTGAGAATATTTCGCTCATATGACGACGTGCATGCGTGTGTAAGTGTATGTGCGGCTGCTTGTACTAGTTTTATAGTGCTAGCCCACTGAGATACCATGCCGCAATGAAGCATGAATACCCCACTCAGACACATTATACTGACTCCGAGCCGACCAGTCCTTGTTGTACTCATTAATGCCGAGCGCCAGGCAGGAACCAACAAGTACCATATTTTAACGTCTTTTGGTATGACTCGGTCGGGGATCGAACCCGCGACCTTCCGCTCTCCGGGCGGACGCTCTAACCACTACACCACGGAGGCGGTACAATGTTAAGTAAGATAGCACATGAGCTTTGGCATCGTATGTGTTAGCTTCACTATTGTATTTCTATCTAAAGAACTATCGTGTATAACATGATGTCGGTAGAGCATGTGTGTACAGGACTTGTTTAGATCTCGTGTTGGACCGTCACTGACCCGTGTCTGACCACCAAGGGGGTATTTATTCATCAAAGTGACCATGTGGGTGATTAAAACATTGACTGGGGCCTGACAGTCTGCCCCAGCGGCCATGAGTAGGCAATAACAAGTGACAGAGTGATAAAGTTTACATTTAAGAAAGTCGCCTGCATGGACCATCAGCCCGTGAGACAATGACCACCTGACGGTGACCACATCACTACATCTCGACGACTCGCCACCAACTCCGGCCATGCCTGTACAACAAACAGTCTCCACTACGTGTTATGCGTGAAGCCCATTTCTGGTGTTCCCGCCGTGGCGGAATGGCGACGTGGGGTAGTCTAGTGGTTAAAGCGTTGGCTCGTCACGCCGAAGACCCGGGTTCGAATCCCCACATGGGTACAATGAGTGAAGCCCATTTCTGGTGTCCCCCGCCGTGATATTGCTGGAATATTGCTAAAAGCGGCGTAAAACCAAACTCAGTCAGTCCGTTATTGAGAAATGTTCCTCAATTAACTCATCAACATCACCTGACCGTTGACACTTTTCTCAGGAAAATCACAGTGTCAGCTTAACTGATCACTTTTATTCCGGTTCATAATTCGAAACAAAAACATATGCTTATATCAGGACATACTGTAACTGACAACACACTCGTATATTGCTGCAGACAGATCATACGTTTAGAGATTATTTCTATAGTATCCATTGCCATGACTTCAGGTATACTGGCAGTCTACCCAACCACTACGAGCAAAGTCCAACCCAGTTGGGTACGATGACTGAGAATGTTTTGCCCTGCTCACGTAATAGTTCTTACTTACGTATGGGCTTATACACACACTAGTGACTTGAGTGAATGGCTCGCGTGAATGCAATACGCCATTCCTACGTAAATTACTGGTCTGAGGTAAAAGAGACAGTCAGCACGAAAAAGGATGCAAGTCTGGTTTAAATCCTTTAGAATAACCCGTTATTAGATTTTGTTCTTGTTTTGTTTTTGTTGTTTTGTTTGTTTTTTGTTGTTGTCATTATTGTTTCACCGCACTCATCAATATTCCAGCTACATGGCGGTAGTCTGTAAATAATCAAGTCTGGCCCAAACAACCCAGTGATCAACGTCATGAGCATCGATCTACGCAGTTGGGATAAGATGGCATGTGTCAAACAAGTCAGCGAACCTGACAACCCGATCCCTTTAGTCGCCTCTTAGCATGGGCTGCTGAAGACCAATTCTAACCAGGATCTTCATGGGTCTCGTTAATAGAAATATCAGATCTTTCTCACATAACTCTACCAATGTCTACCAATCACTATGATCTTGCTTCATGTTTCTTTAACTTCTCTGAGTGGCATGTTTAGAAGTTGGAGAATCAGATAAGGACAAAACTTTATGGATGAACAACTATATTCGGGTGATGTGACGACTTGACAATGATACAAGAATCTGTATCGAAAACGTCGCATCATCCGAATAAAGAAGTTGTTTATCCAAAAAAAGGTTTTGTCCTTACCTTATGTTTCTTTGTCATTTCTACTTTTTTTGGCCATCTTCGATCACCCTCGTGTGCTTGAATTGATTAAAGCTGTTTAATCTTTTCTACAGAGGTGTATGCCAATATCTACAAGCTGATGCTGCATTTAAACTTCGTCACTTCCAGTGAATAAAATATATGAAAATACACGTAAACAATTGTCGCAAGAACTTGTGCGTCTACGTACCATTTGATGCGAACATCTTGTATCCGAAGGACGACTTCGACACCGACGTACACAGACGCAAACGCTGACCTGCGTTGTACGTATTAAATCTTCGGTACGGTGTATAGCCATGAGAAATTGTGAAGAAAGTCATTAACAAAACGCTTAACGTTTCCATTAGAAAAGAAACACAACAACTGGAACATTTTACGCCGTGCGAGGAGCTCAATGGGAAGGAAGACGCCCCTGCAACATGCATCGTGACGAATGACGTTACTCTTGTGTGACTAATGACGTTACCCTTCCATCAGATGTGGAATGTGTTTGTGTCAACTTTAAATTCTAGATCCTGAAACGTTTCGGGACGTCCGCGGATCAAAGAGCAGGGTGTATATGCTGTTTACAATCTCATTCATCATAAAACTTCACCAACATGACAAGGCGCGACAACGTTTCCGTGTTGATGTACATGCAACCACAAGTTGATGCATGACGCGTGCAGGAGATCAACCAGCGTAGTAACCCCCCATGCATCTTCCTGACCCTACACAGGGTATGCATGTCAGGCACTGTCGGCACGCTACATGCCGGTCGGGATTAACCCGGAACAATGACTTTTTTGTACACATAATCTTATCTGGCAATGTAGACCATGTTGAAATTGTATAACATCGTTTCTATGAAGATAAGTAGAGGGCAGTCGTGTGCTTGATCTTGGTACTACATCAGGGAGGGAGTAAGGTTTTACGCCGTTTTTAGCAACATCGCAGCAATATCATGGAGGACTGACTGACTGACTGAGTTTGGTTTTATGCCGCTTTTAGCAATATTCCAGCAACATCACGGCGGGGGACACCAGAAATGGGCTTCACACATTGTGCCCATGTGGGGATTCGAACCCGAGTCTTCGGCGTGACGAGCGAACGATTTAACCATTAGGCTACCCCACCACGCTGGTAATCTAGACTTGCCACATATTCTCGACTTGTATGAGCTGCATTGGGTTTAATTGTTTCACTGTCTGACAGACTAGGCCTGAGTATTCATCTTATAGCTATTTATACCGACTTACAGTGAAACCATCACGTTCTGAACCATCGTGATCCCTTGCACACAAAAATAATGTTATCAATTAATTGAGACTGACTCTCTTATGTGACAGTACATCAAGCAGAATCTGTACGTACCTGAATGTCCAGTCCACACCCTTCTGGTTCAGGTTATCACCGACTATCTTGGTTTTACTACTTTTACCATTTTATACTGCCACTGGTACTCTTTTCTACCCCATTGTATTTCATTTCCAATAGTTTGTATTGATTAGTAAATCCAATTTATTTTTCATTATTGTTGTTAATTACATATGTTTGTTGTTTTGGACACTGAACCCTACTACGTGCAGCTTCTACTGGTTGCTTACTGTTTAAATTTGGAAATCACCATTTATAATATCTTACAAATTCTCTAAAAAGGGATTACAGGTATTTCCTTTTATTTCACTGTGGGCGTGGGAGTAGTACGGTAGTTAAAGCAGTTGATCGTCACATGCCATATGTGAAGGTGTATGTGTCCTTAGTTTCGTATCACTGAAAACAGTGACTTAATATATAATTTTATTCAATTATTACTACACGTCTACGAAATCACCGTCTACGAACCAGTCTGGGCTACGAATCCACCCCGTCTACGAACTGGTTCAGTCTACGAAATCACCGTCTCCCATGTGAAGTCAATTTCTGTTATTCCCACATACAAAAACTTGAATATTGCCAAGGACGGTTTTAAAACAATTCCGCAAATTTTACTTGTGTCTTTTTGTAAGCAGTGTGGTGAATATCAAAGTGAAATTTAAACTAACTAACGATTGTATCAGGGATACTGTCTGTCTGCAAGTTCTTTATCTTCCTTTCTTTTGAATTTCATGATAAATGCAACAAACAAGTGAAAGCAATAGATCGAGCGCGAGAACGATGAGTGAAGCAGTTTTAACAATATTCCCAAAATACCACAACATGAGTCTCAAACGTTGTTTCACACGTTACATATATCCATTTGGTGAATAAAATATTAAGAGTGAAATTCTTTAAAAACTAGGTGACCTCGCCTGTCGTAAAACGCAATACTATCATAACGATGTCACGATTTATGTTGCAATGTCTCTCGTTTCCTGTCATCATGGTGTTACGTGTAGTGACAGCTTCCTCGTCTGTCAATCTTCACACTCTACATTATTACATCAACACGCAACTACATGTAACAAGTCCGGTATTGCTTCACCAATACAGGATCATCCGATAGTGCTGCCTTGCTGCATTAAAGATGGACTGATGCACTTCAGGTGTCTGTTTCGCAGAGCGATTCCAGCGCTAACATGATCCAAACTCGTATTCTTTGACACAGACTTACGATCGTCGTAATGCTATAATCGTTTTGTCAAAGAGGTCCCTGGTAAATTCATTTCCTAGGCAGTCACAAAGACTGATCCAAGTCTCTCTATACGTCAGTCTTCAAATAATTAACAGTGTAGTGATTATGTCGTCCGCCCGGAGAGCGGAAGGTCGCGGGTTCGATCCCCGACCGCGTCATACCAAAAGACGTTAAAATATGGTACTTGTTGGTCCCTGCCTTGCGCTCGGCATTAATGGGTACAACAAGGACTGGTCGGCTCGGAATCAGTATAATGTGTCTGAGTGGGGCATTCACGCTTCACTGCCGCATGGTATTTCAGTGGGCTAGCACTATAAAACCAGCTTAAGTCTGGGCTAGTACAAGCAGCCGCACATACACACGTTGTCATATGAGCGAAATACTCTCAAGCACAACGTTAAACCCAATTTCACCTCACCTCACCTCACCTCACCTCACCTCACATAATTAAGAAGAACAGGTTGCTGGGAACACATTCTAACCCATAATTACCACCTCATACTTTAATCGCATTGTGACAACCAGTATTGCTAAAAGCGGCGTAAAACCAAACTCAGTCAGTCAGTCAGACAACCAGCACAGGTTGCTGGGAACACATTCTAACCCATAATTACCACCTCATACGTTAATCGCATTGTGACAACCAGTATTGCTAAAAGCGGCGTAAAACCAAACTCAGTCAGTCAGTCAGACAACCAGCACAGGTTGCTGGGAACATATTCTATCCTACCACCTCATATTTTAAGTCGGGTTGTAACAAACAGCAAATGTTGCTGGGAACATATTCTAACCCACTATTAACAACTCATATTTTAAGTTGGGTTGTAACAACCAGCCCAGATTGCTGGGAGCATATTCTAACCAAGAATGACCATCTGACCTATTTGGTTGCGTATGGACAACCAGCCTAGATTGCTGGGAGCATATTCTAACCCAGAAATACCATCTGACCTATTTGGTTGCGTATGGACAACCAGCACAGGTTTTTTGGAACATAATCTAACCCAGAATGACCATCTAACCTATTTCGTTGCGAATGGACAACCAGCACAGGTTTCTGGGAGCATATTCTAACCCAGAATGACCATCTGACCTATTTGGTTGCGTATGGACAACCAGCACAGGTTTGGTGGGAGCATATTCTAACCAAGAATGACCAACTGACCTGTTTGATTGCATATGGACAACCAAAACAGGTTGCTGGGGGCATATTCTAACCAATAATGACCATCTGACCTATTTGGTTGTGTATGGACAACCAGCACAGGTTGCTGGGAGCATATTCTAACCCAGAATGACCATCTGACCTATTTGGTTGCGTATGGACAACCAGCACAGGTTTCTGGGAGCATATTCTAACCCAGAATGACAATCTGACCTATTTGGTTGCGTATGGACAACCAGCACAGGTTTGGTGGGAGCATATTCTAACCAAGAATGACCAACTGACCTGTTTGATTGCATATGGACAACCAAAACAGGTTGCTGGGGGCATATTCTAACCAATAATGACCATCTGACCTATTTGGTTGTGTATGGACAACCAGCACAGGTTGCTGGGAGCATATTCTAACCCAGAATGACCATCTGACCTATTTGGTTGCGTATGGACAACCAGCACAGGTTTGGTGGGAGCATATTCTAACCAAGAATGACCAACTGACCTGTTTGATTGCATATGGACAACCAAAACAGGTTGCTGGGGGCATATTCTAACCAATAATGACCATCTGACCTTTTTGGTTGTGTATGGACAACCAGCACAGGTTGCTGGGAGCATATTCTAACCCAGAATGACCATCTGACATATTTGGTTGTGTATGGACAACCAGCACAGGTTTTTTGGAACATATTCTAACCCAGAATGACCATCTAACCTATTTCGTTGCGAATGGACAACCAGCACAGGTTGCTGGGAGCATATTCTAACCCAGAATGACCATCTGACCTATTTGGTAGCGTATGGACAACCACCACAGGTTTGGTGGGAGCATATTCTAACCAAGAATGACCAACTGACCTGTTTGATTGCATATGGACAACCAAAACAGGTTGCTGGGGGCATATTCTAACCAATAATGACCATCTGACCTATTTGGTTGTGTATGGACAACCAGCACAGGTTGCTGGGAGCATATTCTAACCCAGAATGACCATCTGACATATTTGGTTGTGTATGGACAACCAGCACAGGTTTTTTGGAACATATTCTAACCCAGAATGACCATCTAACCTATTTCGTTGCGAATGGACAACCAGCACAGGTTGCTGGGAGCATATTCTAACCCAGAATGACCATCTGACATATTTGGTTGTGTATGGACAACCAGCACAGGTTTTTTGGAACATATTCTAACCCAGAATGACCATCTAACCTATTTCGTTGTGAATGGACAACCAGCACAGGTTGCTGGGGGCATATTCTAACCAATAATGACCATCTGACCTTTTTGGTTGTGTATGGACAACCAGCACAGGTTGCTGGGAGCATATTCTAACCCAGAATGACCATCTGACATATTTGGTTGTGTATGGACAACCAGCACAGGTTTTTTGGAACATATTCTAACCCAGAATGACCATCTAACCTATTTCGTTGCGAATGGACAACCAGCACAGGTTGCTGGGAGCATATTCTAACCCAGAATGACCATCTGACCTATTTGGTAGCGTATGGACAACCACCACAGGTTTGGTGGGAGCATATTCTAACCAAGAATGACCAACTGACCTGTTTGATTGCATATGGACAACCAAAACAGGTTGCTGGGGGCATATTCTAACCCAGAATGACCATCTGACCTATTTGGTTGCGTATGGACAACCAGCACAGGTTGCTGGGAGCATATTTTAACCAAGAATGACCATCTGACCTATTTGATTGCTTATGGACAACCAGCACAGGTTGCTGGGGGCATATTCTAACCCAGAGTGACCATCTGACCTATTTGGTTGAGTATGGACAACCAGCACAGGTTGCTGGGAGCATATTCTAACCAAGAATGACCATCTGATCTATTTGGTTGCGTATGGACAACCAGCACAGGTTGCTGGGAACATATTCTAACCAATAATGACCATCTGACCTATTTGGTTGCGTATGGACAACCAGCACCGGTTGCTGGGGACATATTCTAACCAAGAATGACCACCTGACATATTTCGTTGCGTATGGACAACCAGCACAGGTTGCTGGGAACATATTCTAACCCAGAATGACCATCTGACCTATTTGGTTGCATAAGGACAACCAGCACAGGTTGCTGGGAGCATATTCTAACCCAGAATGACCATCTGACCTATTTGGTTGCTTATGGACAACCAGCACAGGTTGCTGGGAACATATTCTAACCCAGAATGACCATCTGACCTATTTCGTTGCTTATGGACAACCAGCACAGGTTGCTGGGAGCATATTCTAACCCAGAATGACCACCTGACCTATTTGGTTGCGTATGGACAACCAGCACAGGTTGCTGGGAGCATATTCTAACCAAGAAAGACCATCTGACCTATTTGGTTGCGTATGGACAACCAGCACAGGTTTCTGGGAGCATATTCTAACCCAGAATGACAGCCGATTAATTTGGCTGCGTCCTGACAACCAGCATATTATGCGCGGAACCACCTCAAGGTGACATCCCAGTGGGTCCCACTGATGTGGAAGATGAGATGATACGAATCCCTATGTTGACATTAAAACTAAGAAAAACAACAGAAGAATTTGTCCAGGTGCGTTCAAGCTGTTGGCAAAGACCAAGGTTACATGTTTTATTCAGCCAAAGAACAGACACACAAAGATTTTAAATATTTACTGTAATAAGTTAACGTATTACAATTCCATACCAACTGCAATAGTAAACATACAATACTCTATCACATCATCACATTCACCTTCCACACACTATTTACAGTCAACAGTTCCTGATAAACTGTTATACACAAGTGCTTCTTCCTTCTCTGGTAGACCATTCACATGGTTAATCTGGCACTTTCCTTTCAGATTCAATACATTAGAAAAACTTTCAGTAGAAGCTCAATAATATCAACTAGTTCACTCTCCCGTGAATATGATATGCTTCATAAAAAATACATTCATTTTTTCTGATATAAGAATACTTGGGTGGTTTCACTGCAACATACCGGATTTGCAACAGTTCCAAATAAACATTGTATCTTGCATATTCTATGCTTAAGATTCAGGCTGTCCCATTATGAGAACATATGGCACGTCACATCGCTTCCTACAGATGCATTCTGAGATAACATGACAAGCATCTGGTTAGCCATAATGTCAGCCACATCAACATAGATGTAAACTGGGGGGATTTATCTGGATGAAGCTACAGAACATCAGATGAGGACATATCACGTCTCTCAGAGGAAGTAACAGCATAGCACTTATGATGGAGAATGTCTCAGATCACTACGTCATACTCTCAGTTACACACTGTGTTTAGTCTCTGTCTGTATCTGATTACCAATCATATCGATCAGCTTCATGGCAGCGTCTGGTATCCGTGTTCCTGCAGAAGAAGATACTTGGTCATGTGTCAGTTAGCATCTGTGATGGATGTGTGTGTGTGTTTGGGGACTGGTATTTGTCTGACTATGCGTGGTGGTGTCAGGTGTCTGCAGGGAAAACCTGCACATATGTGTCAGGTTATCTCCATCACTCTTGCAACAGATACGAAAACATAGGACTGATAGGAAACAGATGTTGTTTGTTGCTTAACGCCGCAATCTGTAATATTCCTGATACATGGCAGCGGTTTGTAAATAATCAAGTCTGGGTCATCATGAGCACCAATCTAATTGCATATACTGATGCTCATGATGTCAATCACTGGCTTGTCTTGTCCAAACTCGATCTTTACAGACGTACTCACATTGCCTGAATACTGCCAAGTGCAAAGGTAGACAACAAGCAAACACAAGTCAGCGAGCCTGACCACCTGATCCCATTACTCGCCTATTAGGACAAGCATGGATTGTTGAAGACAGGTACTTCACAGGTACACTTACAGACTTACAGGAAACACAGGACTTACAGGAAACTCCAGACTAACAGGAAACATGAGGCTTACAACAAAGACTAACAGGAAACAAGACATCAGGAAACATAAAACTAACATTAGGGAACTAAAGTTATTCCTGCTCACCTGGGCCGAAGATGGCTGAGCAGCCGGCACTGTAGAGGAAGTCATAGTCCTGGGGAGGAATCACACCACCGGCCACAACCAGGATGTCACTGAAACACCATCACATGACTTAGGGGGGAACATATGGACTGAAGGAATCACACCACCGGCCACAACCAGGATGTCACTGAAACACCATCACATGACTTAGGGGGGAACATATGGACTGAAGGAATCACACCACCGGCCACAACCAGGATGTCACTGAAACACCACCACATGACTTAGGGGGAAACATATGGACTGAAGGCATCACACCACCGGCCACAACCAGGATGTCGCTGAAACACCATCACAGGACTTAGGGGGGAACATATGGACTGAAGGAATCACACCACCGGCCACAACCAGGATGTCACTGAAACACCATCACATGACTAAGAGGGGAACATATGGACTGAAGGAATCACACCACCGGCCACAACCAGGATGTCACTGAAACACCATCACAGGACTTAGTGGGGAACATATGGACTGAAGGAATCACACCACCGGCCACAACCAGGATGTCACTGAAACACCATCACAGGACTTAGGGGGGAACATATGGACTGAAGGAATCACACCACCGGCAACAACCAGGATGTCACTGAAACACCATCACATGACTTAGAGGGGAACATATGGACTGAAGGAATCACACCACCGGCCACAACCAGGATGTCACTGAAACACCATCACAGGACTTAGGGGGGAACATATGGACTGAAGGAATCACACACCGGCCACAACCAGGATGTCACTGAAACACCATCACATGACTTAGTGGGGAACATATGGACTGAAGGAATCACACCACCGGCCACAACCAAGATGTCACTGAAATACCATCCCATGACTTAGGGGGGAACATATGGACTGAAGGAATCACACCACCGGTCACAACCAGGATGTCACTGAAACACCATCACATGACTTAGGGGGAACATATGGACTGAAGGAATCACACCACCGGCCACAACCAGGATGTCACTGAAACACCATCACAGGACTTAGAGGGGAACATATGGACTGAAGGAATCACACCACCGGCCACAACCAGGATGTCACTGAAACACAATCACATGACTTAGGGAGGAACATATGGACTGAAGGAATCACACCACCGGCCACAACCAAGATGTCACTGAAACACCATCCCATGACTTAGGGGGGAACATATGGACTGAAGGGATCACACCACCGGCCACAACCAGGATGTCACTGAAACACCATCACATGACTTAGTGGGGAACATATGGACTGAAGGAATCACACCACCGGCCACAACCAAGATGTCACTGAAATACCATCCCATGACTTAGGGGGGAACATATGGACTGAAGGGATCACACCACCGGTCACAACCAGGATGTCACTGAAACACCACCACAGGACTTAGGGGGGAACATATGGACTGAAGGAATCACACCACCGGCCACAACCAAGATGTCACTGAAATACCATCCCATGACTTAGGGGGGAACATATGGACTGAAGGGATCACACCACCGGCCACAACCAGGATGTCACTGAAACACCATCACAGGACTTAGGGGGGAACATATGGACTGAAGGGGTCAGTACACTCCTGTCATCAGAATCACAGCTATATATAGGCGATGGTGTAGCCTAGTGGTTGAAGCCTTCGCTCGTCACGCCGATGACCCTGGTTCGATTTCCAACATGAGTACAATGTGTGAAGCCCATTTCTGGTGTCCCCCACCCTTATATTGCTGGAATATTGCTAAAAGCGGTGTTAAAACCATACTCACTACAGCTAAATAATTACAGTCAGTAAAAGAATACCACAAGCACTGGAGCTGATACAGGATGATCCAGTACTTTAGTGATCTGCAGTTTACACCAACAGTGCGTGTCCCAAAGAGTTTTAATACTACGAACACCAAGAATGGGTCCATTACTTAACCACATGGGAAAACATACCTGGCTGGACACTTACTTACCTCACAGCCCCTGCTAACGAAATATATCAAAACAGAAACATATATCATCTCCATTTCACACCATATATTTCCTTCAATAACTGAGATATTGAGGCCCATACATACATGTCAACTATCTGTGCTACTCACGGTCGTCCCATGTTCTTGAGTTCTTTGATAAGTTCGGGAATCAGGGTTTTGTGACCAGCAGCAAGGGAGCTAACTCCGACAACATGCACATCTGCATCAATGGCTTGCTGGGCAGCCTCTTTGGGGGTCTGTGATGAAGTAAAGAGTAGATATTACACACTAACTTAACATGAGGTTGTCCTGTCCTTGTTACAGAACCACTGTACATGTAGACATAGACATGTACAGCTTGTTCAGCTTGACCTGATCAAGTGAATACTAATGAATTGAGTGACCGTGTCACAACTGGTTGAGTCTATTTTTGTGAAGGGGTGCACCTTTGTTAGATGATTGGTGTAAACGAGTGGACTGATTGCTGTACCCATGTTGAAAATTTGGAAAGCAACTACCGGGACAGAAATATTGCAGTTGAACATGAAATAGAAAAAGTGATAACTGAACTGGGTGTAGAGAGTGATAGCGAGAGTGAATCGGATTATGAAAGTAACTGACATCTGTAAGTTGTAAAGTCAGCAAACCAAACTAGATAGCATATGACTGTATAAACAATTCAATTATAAAACATGACATGATTGGGTTTTTATCAGAAGTGTTGTTTTCTGGGAGAAATTCTGTAATGAATCTCTGTATGCATGCTTCGCACGACCGCAACATAAATAACATCCTCTGCACCCCTATTAATGAAGATAATCCGATCTGCCGTTTGTGCTATCTGACCTCCCGGGTCATGCATACGTAGAGTAGCTCATGTCAAGCTGAACAAGCTGTACCAGTATGTGTCAAACTGATTTCACCAAAGGTATGGTTTCGTTTATTGTTTAATGCCACAGTCAGCAATTTTCCAGCAATATGGCGGCAGTCTGTAAATAATTGAGTCTGGATGGACAACAATGCTTATCATCGATCTGTGGAATAGGGATGCGATAACATGTGTCAACCAAGTCAGCGAGCCTGACCACCTGATCCCGTTTGTCGCCTCTTACTGATGACGCTACTGATGACGATTCTAATCCAGATGTTAACAGGTGATTTTACAAGGAGTGAACAGTGGACTGCCACCAAGACAACTGGCTCCAGCCACAAGAGTCAACAGTTTCACTTACTGCGAAAAGGGGTCCGATGTCAACATCAAAGCCAAGATCAGCAAAACCTGTGGCGATCACCTTCCCGCCTCGATCGTGGCCGTCCTGGCCCACCTTGGCTACCAGGATACGCGGGCGTCGACCTTCCGACTCCACAAAGTTCTACACAAAACAATCATACTTCTTACTGACAATGTCATTGGTCAGTGTGCTAGCACCGATTCACAGTACCAGTGTTTGGGTTTTTTTGGCACCAAAGTCTACAATATTCCAGCTTTATCATGGCCGAATAGTCGTTAAAGCATTCGCTCGTCCCACCGAAGACCCGGGTTCGATTCCCCACATGGGTACAATGTGTGAAGCCCACACCGTGATATTGCTGGAATATTGCTAAAAGTGGTGTAAAACTAAACTCACTCACTCAAAGACAGATATGTATGTTTAGTGAACAAGTGGATCAATTAATGAATGTTCACCTTTATTCTTTCGGACACAATTCTCATTTCCTCAGCTTGTCCGAACTCTGTCGCATACGCTCCGCTCACCATTCTGTCACTGGCTACATGACGTCCAAATACCTGTTCACAAAAATATCGTGTCTATAATATTTCAGTTTCAACACGCAGTTACATAATAATAATTTCTTATTTCTTAAGTTTGTTTATTTGTTTTTTAATATTTATAATAGTCCATTTATATTGCGCGTTTATCCATGCACATTGCATGCTCAAAGCGCTGACATATTACCCCTGGTCAACGAGTACAGAACACTCCATGTGGAGAATACAACCGGTCGCCTGTCAGGCGCTCAATGTTCAAATTCAGACTACCATTGTATCATACCAGGTACCCTATTTTACTGCTGGGTTAACAGAGGCAGTTTTGAACAAACTCACTTGCCTAAGGTGAGACCATATGCGTCACATGTGCTTCGTTGTGGGGCAGGACTGAAGTCCTAGAAATGCCACACTCAGCAATATTCAAGCTATATGAGGGCGGTTTGTAAATAATCAAGTCAGGACCAGGCAATCCAGTGATCAATAGCATGAGCATCAACCTATGCAACTGGGATACAAAGACATGTGTCATCCAAGTCAGCAAGCTTGACCACCTGATCATGTTAGGCACCTCTTGCAACAAGCACAGATTGCTGAAGACTTTTGAGAAAAATACAGAAATAAATCAGAGAGTACACCAACCAATGTGTTACTCCAAAGTTTTAAGGGTGTCTTCAATTAAACATTGTGTTCACCATCAGTTACAGGGCCTTGACTTCCTGTCAATGATAACACACCCAACAATAACCTCGGATGTACAGTGAAGCATGGCAGAGTTTCCCAGTCTGACTGCCCTTCATTCATACCCTGGAATCCTCAAATAGTATTGTTTTGAGTGCCCTTGACCCCAAAATAACACACCTAAGTAAACTCAAGTCAAACAATGAGATTACACATCCTCTACAGTGAAAACTTCTCAGGAAGAGGACCTGTGACGATACGGGTTAGAATTGGTCTTTGGTAACTCATGCTTGTCGTAAGATGCCACTAGCGGGATCGGGTGGTCAGGCTAGCTGACTTGGTTGACGCATGTCACCGTATCCCAATTGCGTAGCTTGATGCTCATGCTGTTAATCACTGGATTGTCTATTCCAGACTTAATTATTTACAGACCGCTGCCATATAGCTGGAATATTGCTGAGTGTGTCGTAAAACTAAACCCACTCGCTCATTCTCAGAAAGAGGGATTATCCACAATGTTGGGCTTACCACTTCCATAGCCTGAGTTATCTCCCCTACAGATGCCCGTGCCCTGGAGGCCTCTATGGAGAGATGGAGCAGGTTCCCGTCCCCTGTCTCACAGCACTTGGTGAGGGCAGACAGGGTCTCCTGACACTGAAACAAACAGAATGGTACAGTCGGGTGCATACTTAAGTTACCCATAGATCCATAGGCTTGAGACCAAAGTGTAACAGTTTCCCTATAGGTCTGATGTTTAACAGTAGATCCATCATAGCTTCTAAGAGGGGCGGTAGGGTAGCCTAGTGGTTAAAGCATTCGCTCGTCACGCAGAAGACCCGGGTTCGATTCCCCACATGGGTAAAATGTGTGAAGCCCAATTCTGGTGTCCCCCGCCGTGATATTGCTGGAATATTGCTAAAAGAGGCGTAAAACCCAACTCAGTCAGTCAGTCCTACCTTCTAAGAAACATAACGTGATAACAATAGCCTTAGTGTTAAATCAAAATGTTCTACAATTGTACACATAAGTTCTCAACATCTATAAGGAGTCATTGTATTTTCCAACTCTTTCCCCATGTCTGTTATCTTAAATATTGCACATCCAGTTTCTGAGGCACCTGAGTATTATCTAAAAACATCACCTACCTGTTTCTGTAGCACCACAGTGTTGTCTATAGACAGGACCTACCTTAGCCTCGTCTCTCATCTCCCTCATCTTCTTCAGTCTGGCCACCTGTTTCTGTAGCACCACAGTGTTGTCTATAGACAGGACCTACCTTAGCCTCGTCTCCCTCATCTTCTTCAGTCTGGCCACCTGTTTCTGTAGCACCACAGTGTTGTCTATAGACAGGACCTACCTTAGCCTCGTCTCTCGTCTCCCTCATCTTCTTCAGTCTGGCCACCTGTTTCTGTAGCACCACAGTGTTGTCTATAGACAGGACCTACCTTAGCCTCGTCTCTCATCTCCCTCATCTTCTTCAGTCTGGCCACCTGTTTCTGTAGCACCACAGTGTTGTCTATAGACAGGACCTACCTTAGCCTCGTCTCTCATCTCCCTCATCTTCTTCAGTCTGGCCACCTGTTTCTGTAGCACCACAGTGTTGTCTATAGACAGGACCTACCTTAGCCTCGTCTCCCTCATCTTCTTCAGTCTGGCCACCTGTTTCTGTAGCACCACAGTGTTGTCTATAGACAGGACCTACCTTAGCCTCGTCTCTCGTCTCCCTCATCTTCTTCAGTCTGGCCACCTGTTTCTGTAGCACCACAGTGTTGTCTATAGACAGGACCTACCTTAGCCTCGTCTCTCGTCTCCCTCATCTTCTTCAGTCTGGCCAGCTGTTTCTCTAGCACCATAGTGTTGTCTATAGACAGGACTTCCACCGTGTCCTGGTCTTTCAGTCGGTACTTGTTCACACCAACTATCACCTCTGTCACGAAGAAAGGCACACAATTATTGTTCCCTAAATATCCCGAACCTTCACAAAACCAGCAGCCCTCAGATAGGCTGGTAATGTGTTGTCTCAAGCAAACCATCAGCAAATGTTTGTGTTAGACAGGGTTTACATTGTCAGCAAACTGTGGATTCTTCAAAGAAAACATGGACATTAATGGGACGTTTAGGTACAGAAGCTAAAATCTTTATCAGGCAGAGTTCACTTGTTTCACTTGTAAATGTACTAGCATCTGTGCTGTAATATCACACTCAAAGAATAAGAAATTAAAATCCATAAATCAACTCTTCTAACTACAGTTTCAGACATTAAAAACTACAGTTTTAAAAATGAACATACAAATAATATAGCCATTTTAGTTTATACTTTAGCAAATGACCACAAATGTTTACAAAAGCTACCAGTGTTTAATAAATGTGTACTTTCTGACCTGATTCACTGTCGATCCGAGCCTGCCTCTTGGCTGCACATTCCTCGATCTTCAGTTTAGGCATCCCAGATGCTACAGCCTTAGCCATGCCTCCCATCTCCTCAATCTGAGGACAAAGAGTGTATAACCCTGGTCCCTCAAGCTCATTGTTATGACAGGCAACTGTTCCAAGAGTGACTGTGGCTCGATGCCTATCACTAGATGTTGAAGTGAGTTACCAGAATATCTGGGCTAATGGGGCTTTTTTGGAACTACATGGGTCAAGAAATGTTTCCCTGTGTTATATCATTGCTTTGGTCAGTTTCTAATATACAGAGAAATAGCAAGCCAAACTGTTGATAGGGCTAATATGAGTAAAATACCTTCTGTTGAAAGATAGTGTAAAACTCACAGTCAAATCAGGTAAATGTTCCATAAAGTGATCGTCGTTCTATGGCTGAGGTGAGGTGAGGTGAAATTGGGTTTAACGTCGCGCTGGAGAATATTTCGCTCATATGACGACGTGCATACGTGTGTATGTATATGTGCGGCTGCTTGTACTAGCCCAGACTTAAGCTGGTTTTATAGTGCTAGCCCACTGAGATACCATGCCGCAGTGAAGCATGAATACCCCACTCAGACACATTATACTGACTCCGAGCCGACCAGTCCTTGTTGTACCCATTAATGCCGAGCGCCAGGCAGGGACCAACAAGTACCATATTTTAATGTCTTTTGGTATGACGCGGTCGGGGATCAAACCTGCGACCTTCTGCTCTCCGGGCGGACGCTCTAACCAGTACACCACGGAGGCGGTCCAAATGGCTGAATGTCAGGGAGCATTTGTGTTCTTTTTCTGCACTTCACTAAGTGCAGGTTGTACTTAACAACTGGCTGCACCAGATATTTGTTGGTTTGTGTAGAGTCAAGAATGCCCCAAAAGCATAACACAAATTTTCAGCCAGATTAATACACTGACCACAGCCTGATGTTGCTGGAGTCTCCTCAGAAAGTTAAAGTCAGGGTCTAGTGTAGAGAATAGCAATACATAACCTCAATGTCAGCAGAATCAGGGCCGGGATTGATGCAGATCAGCGTATGCTGCTACAGCAAAGGGAAGCAACTATAAACTGTTTTACACCACTTGACCTGCTGTGCCTATGTATTTCCACTGACTGAGATGAGATGTCCAGATGTCTTGTATGGTAAAGCATGTTATCGCTGATATACTAAACTGACCTCATTGATCAACTTGAGTGCTTCGTCGTAGATGTCATTGGTGAGATTCTCCATCATGTAAGATCCGCCCCAGGGATCAGCCACCTGAGACATACACTACACAGTATTACAGGGGTTTTATCTCCAACTCAATATTAATTAAGAGTGAATGATACTCAGAGGGGATTTTGCAAGTAACTATTAGACAAAAATTGATAAATATTGGTAATAGCCTTAAAAAATTTCAGCTTAGTCAAAGAGCAAAGGTGAAGTCAAGGTCAAACGTCCTACTACTGACGTCACATCTACCAAATTTCGTTATACTTTGAAATTCAGAATTGAATTTCTTGAATCAGCTGGGCTTACATCACTGATGAAAACAATTGTGAAGTTTAAATTTAATCTCTTCTGAGTGAGTGAGTTTAGTTTTACGCCGCACTCAGCAATATCCCAGCTATATGGCGGCGGTCTGTAAATAATCGAGTCTGGACCAGACAATCCAGTTATCAACAGCATGAGCAACGATCTGCTCAATTGGGAACCGATAACATGTGTCAACCAAGTCAGCGAAACTGACCACCCGATCCCGTTAGTCGCCTCTTACAACAAGCATAGTCGCCTTTTATGGCAAGCACATGGGTTGCTGAAGACCTATTCTACCCCGGATCTTCACGGGTCTAATCTTTTCTGAGTCTAGGAGGGTATGACAGAAGAAAAATTATGGATATAAGACAACAGACACAGGACAATGAGGCCAAACACATTATCACTCTACGTTCAGTCACAAGAGCTAAATATATGCCAAACAACGCATTAATTGTCATTCAGCAAACTACAAAAAAACTTTTTCAAGCACTCATATCTAAATGTGTTTATGTTCCATGTGTCCCTGCTATAAGAAGATTTACATTAGGAATTCCAGACTCTTCCTGCAGGATGATCTGAGTGTTTCTGGCTATCCTGGCACTGAATGGCGTCGAGACCAAGGGCTTCATCGAAAGAGTTGGTGTGTAGGGACTGTGTGCCCCCAAACACTCCAGACATCGCTTCTACCACTGTGCGGATGATGTTGTTATAAGGATCCTGGGGTAAGAATGATGGGTTGTGACAATGATGATATGTCCCCTTCATGCAGCTGATATGTGGGGTCATTACCAATTAACATGACAATATCTGATTCTAGTTCTTCTGCGATATATACAACTATACTTAAACGTAGATTTATAATTTGAAATTATATCCATTTAAAACTGGATAAATAATATGGTAACCCCTATTTAGGCAAACAGCTACTTTAATCTAACCTTATGCACTTTATACATGAGTAACCATAAAAATGGTTTTCATGGCACAATCAACCATTTTGCAAATCATGGAACGAGTCATTGACAAATAAACAACACCTGCCAATAGCAGGTATGAGATCCACAGGATGCAATGACATACTGAAACCAAGGATCCATGCTAACAATAAGCTTAGATATTTAAACAAAATTTGTTTTCATCATAGTTTTCTGTTGAATCCATGATTTGATCCTTAGCAAAGTGTGAATAGTATACATATATATGTTATATTGGGATTTCACTTTCTCAGGAAAGTACAGATTGTGGTACATTTTGTTTTGAGTCCCATCTTGGATTCGAACCTACTCTCCCACAGTGAGGCACCTAATTGCCGGCACAAAATGTGAATGATCTAACCCAGTCTGCAGCTGCGGCCCAAACAAAATCGGAGTCAACTGGTATTCTAGTGCACATACTTTGTGTACCTCTTTGACAAGCGGAAATTATCATCATGGCTCTCACGGCCAGATGGGATTCAACCTTAAAAGTACTAGAATCCATTCAAGCGATCGTAGCGCAAAGTTGATCGTAACTCCCATACTTTAACATAGACTTACGACTGTTGTAGCGCTACGATCGCTTTGAGGAACGGGGCCCAGTTTGTAAATGGCATTGTATATATATTCATATATCCATAAAGGCACCCACCTGTTCTGTGAGTGACCAGCCAGAAGTCTGACAGTGAGCTCGCAGTAACTCTGACTTGGGGTTCTTGGGTTGGAACTTTTCCCTCACCAAGTTAGCCCACAGGCGCCGAGCTGCTCGCATCTTCGCAATCTCCTGTACAGGAGTAAAACATACATGTAGAGGCTTTCTTATTACTGTGGTAATATACTTGTCAGGTTTAAGTGAGAGCACCATGTTTGACAGTCGTGAGAGCACCATGTTTGACAGTAGAGAAAGAACCATGGTTTGCTGTTGACAACTTACCATGTAGAAGTTCATGCCAAGACCCCAGAAGAAAGACAATCTTGGCGCAAACTTGTCCACATCCAAACCTCGACTGACACCTGATAGAAGAAACATTAACAAACTGTAAAGACCACAGTCAAGACATTTTCACTGAGATGTTTGAGATACTGTGTGTCCATACCTGTTACACAGTGTTCTATAAATTAAACTCTCAACACTGTGACTAATCTATTTTCAATTTAATTCTATTTTTGTTTTTCACAAATGTATACAGTTGGTATACTGTTCCCAACGATATAGTTCTATTGCGACTACAATGAAGCACTAATGATAGGCGTTGCAAATGAAACCTATCAGCTGGCGAGTTCTAATTTGAATATAACGATAGGCCATTGAATATATGACCGCCCACCAGTCAAGTTCTAACACTAATGTTAGGAGAGGTCGTTGAAAGCACGATCACGCCAGTCCGAAGTTCTAATAACTCTGTTTAAAACTGCCATCGAAGAAACCTTGTTCAAGTTCAACTCCACATGTTTCACACCATGAAAACTTCACAAAGTAAATAGCATTTGCGAAAATGTTCACATTCAGAAAAAAAAATACACGGGAATATTCTAAGTTTACTAACACAGCTTTCCTGAACAATACCTCTTCAACAAAGTGAGCGAGAAAATGTTGTAAGTTGTTTTGGAATCCCAGCAGAGAATCCAGTAAGCTTATGGTGCTGACAAACTTAGAAACATAATCACTGGCCTCTGGCACACACAAACGTCACAACGAGGTCTAAAAACTGGCCATGACTGAACCACCTCTGTCCTTAATGAACAAAGACTCCCAAGGAGACTGTTTGACTAATACCCCAAGTACCACTGTGTACACACCTGTCCTGATGTACTCTAGCCCGTCAGCAACAGTGAAAGCCAGCTCTATGACGGCGTCTGCTCCCGCCTCTTGCATGTGGTAGCCAGAGATGGAGATAGAGTTAAACTTGGGCATGTTCTGGAGAGAGAGGGAAAAAGAGGAGGCTTTCAACTGGGCTGTGTTCAACTTATGCATGTTCTGGAGAGAGAGGAAATACGAAGAGTCTTTCAACTTGGCTGTGCTCAACTTATGCATGCTCTGGAGAGAGAGGAAAAGCAAAGAGTCTTTCAACTTGGCTGTGTTCAACTTATGCATGTTCTGGAGAGAGAAGAAAAACGAAGAGTCTTTCAACTTGGCTGTGTTCAACTTATGCATATTGTTAGTAAAGGGCTTTAATAGCCACCATGTTACTCTTCCTCTTACACAGTCATCCTTCTGGAACTGTCTCATTTTGAAATTCTCAAATGGTAAAGCATGCCCCCCATATTTGTCAACAACGCGGAGAGGAATTTAATCCCTCTGTGATATCTGCCTCCCTGGAAACATCCCCGAGTTGAACACAGCCCTGTCGTAAGCCTCTTGTCCTATCTCTCTCGGGAACATGCCTATTGTCTACTTTGCCAAATCAGTTTTGAATACCTATCTGAAAGCACCAAGTCCTGTCATGATCCAACACAATACAGGATTTAAGATCAATGGCTTTCAATGGCTTTGGACATTCGACAGTGATAAATGTCTGGACAATTACATGGCCTGATACCTATTGCTGCTGCTGCTGCTACATATTTAACGATTCATCTAACTTGCCTGATTTGATCGTAAACCTAACGCTGCCTGTTACAATGTAGTGCTTACATTATTCATTCTCCTTGACGTGCTCGTTACTCCAGTCTATTATATACACACCAATATATCTGTTTTTTAAATTTAGAAATCCCTTCACCAAAACATGCTGACTTGGTTTACTGAGCTTCATGCAGAATATTTAAGTCATCATTCCAGAGACCCATACAAACCTTTGACGTGTACTCGAAGATGTCCCCAATGATCTTCATGGAGGGTTCAGGGGGAAAGATGTAGGTATTACGCACCATGAACTCCTTCAGAATGTCGTTCTGTATTGTCCCGGCCAGCTGGTCCTGTGACGCTCCCTGAATTCATACCATACCATCTTGTTGTATAACACAGCAATATTCCTTCTGTCACACTCCCTTAATAGACAAGGTTGGTTTGTTGTATGATGTCTCACGCATCAATATTCCAGTTGTATCATGGTGAAAGGTCAATAATCTAGACCACAAAGCCTATTCCTAAAATTAATCTATTTGTCATCAATTTCAATGTATACTTATTTTACTATTTATCCTTTGTATGCACTATATGTAGGCTTTTATGTAGCGCCTTGAGCATGTATCATGGAAAATGGCACGCTAAAAATATCCAATATCATTATTATTATTATCATCAATGTCATCATGATACCTTGGCATAAATTTAACCAGCCACTGAATCTGACCACCTGATCCAGTCAGTAGAACCAGCATTGTTGGCTGGAATATATTTTAACGTAAAAACTGCACACAAAAATGACGGAGGTTGACGATTTACAGATAAGAGACATTTATCAAGGACTCTGAACTGACCCTGACAATCTAATTGGGAAAAGAACTGTTATTTGGTTCAAAACCGAGAAATAATAAAACTAAGCATCAAACCCTGTATACTGACTGATTCTTTCTATCAGTAAAGAGTATCTGTATGAACCCATTAATTACACACACAGACACACACACACAGACACATATACATATCAACAAGAATGAGGAAATTTTCTGGGAATACAAATTGCAAATTCCAGTGACAGTTCATATGATTATTTGGCCTGTAATAAATCCCTGAAGATACACCATATGGTTAGAGTGAGTGAGTGAGTGAGTGGGTGGGTGGGTGAGTGAGTGAGTGAGTGAGTGAGTGAGTGAGTGAGTGAGGAGTGAGTGAGTGAGTGAGTGAGTGAGTGAGTGAGTGAGTGAGTGAGTGAGTGAGTGAGTGAGTGAGTGAGTGAGTGAGTGAGGAGTGAGTGAGTGAGTGAGTGAGTGAGTGAGTGAGTGAGAGAGAGAGAGAGTGGAATGTTGAACTCTAACAACAATGATAGTAAAAGGACAAACTTTTGAAAATATTTTAACTGTTTAATGTTTCATACTGGGGTGGAAATAACTTTAAAATTGCTAGTGTACTACAGTACAGTGGCACATGTAAAATAACTTGCCCTGATAATTTTTCCACTATACCGGCCGTTTTCTTGTTGATTTTTTAAATAAACAACATAATTAATATTGGAAAGACAACTGGACACCGGTACAGTGTGATATACAAATTTGCTTGCCCAACAGAAAAAAACACTGGACTCGGACGTCGGGCAATGGGTTATTTCCACCCCTGTCATAGATTGGGAAATATATCAGGTAATAGCTATCTCAAAAAAGTCATAATGTGAGTAAGTGACATGAGGCTCACAACCTTCTCCTTTCTATACTGGTGGAGAGCTGTGAAGATCAGGGTTAGAACTGGTGTTCAGCAACCCATGCTTGTCGTACGAGGTGACTATCGGGATTGGGTGCTCTGGCTTGCAGACATGGTTGACACATATCCTCATATCCCAATTGCAGAGATCTATGCTGAAGCTGTCGATCACTGGATTGTCTGGTCCTGATTCGATTATTTACAGACCGCCGCCATATAGCTGGAATATTGCTCACTGCAGTGTTGAACTAACCATGTTAAGGCGGCAGAGAGAAACTGTCGTCCTACATACCTATGATATACTGGGTATATATCTTATGACCAGTAGATCCAGTGATCACTTGGCCTCTGCGTGTTTCTCTGACCTCACCTGTTCCTCAGCAGCCACCACAAACATAGCCAGGACCGGCAAAACGGCTCCATTCATCGTCATTGATGTGGAGAGCTTGGACAGTGGAATGCCATCGAACAGCAGCTTCATATCTTCCACCGAGTCTATAGCCACTCCAGCCATGCCCACATCACCAACTACCCGGGGGTTGTCGGAGTCGTAGCTACAACACAATAGGAGAGATTAAATGGGGACTAACATTATAACACTCTGTCTGCTAATACCAGTCTGGACTTTTTAGTGCCAGTTTTATAGTGCTAGCACCCTCTGTGATGTGCGATGCACACTATGTGTGTAGACTCAGCCTGTGTGTAGACTCTGTGTGTGTGTGTGTGTGTGTAGACCACACTCAGCAATATTCCAGCCATATGGTGACGGGTCTGTAAATAATCGAGTCTGGACCAGACAATCCAGTGATCAACCCTATTTGTGTAAACTCACCCCGTTTGTAGACTCACCCTATATGTGTAGACTCACCCTATGTGTGTAGAATAACCTTATGTGTGTAAACTCACCCTATGTGTGTAGACTCACCCTCTTTGTGTAGACCCACCCTCTGTGTGTAGACTCACCCCATGTGTGTACTCACCCTCTGTGTGTAGACTCACCCCATGTGTGTACTCACCCTCTGTGTGTAGCGAGATCGAAGGCAACACTGAGTCCCTGCTGGCCAGCTGCGATGTTGTCCCGGTAGAACTTGTTGCTCTCCTCCACTGTGCTGAATCCTGCATACTGAAATGGAACGTCCCGAAAACAAAAGATCAGGCGAAGTCTAGAGTTATATCTGTTGTCTGACACTCACAAAATCATTTTGGATTTCATCTTAACATTCATATGAACCTGATACATTGTCATGCAATATGGAACTTCATTGAACTTGATTCACTTTACCCTTCAAAGAATTTAATTGAATATATTTCATGTATACAAGTGTCCAGGTTTAACACCTGCTAGAAATGACGATGATATTGAGCTTAAACCATATTGTGACAAAACTCGATTGTCCAACAGACATATTTCTACCTGAGACCAAGCTACTGCAGGAGATTATTGTGTAGGTACATTGTAAGACCTGTCTATCTGTCTGATGGTCCAGGGTCTGCGTGTGTACATGGTGTAGTAAGGGCCCCTGGTGTAGGGGACTATAGATCAAGTCATGTGTGTCTACCTGTCTGATGGTCCAGGGTCTGTGTGTGTACACGGTGTAGTAAGGGCCCCTGGTGTAGGGGACTATAGATCAAGTCATTTGTGTCTACCTGTCTGATGGTCCAGGGTCTGTGTGTGTACACGGTGTAGTAAGGGCCCCTGGTGTAGGGGACTATAGATCAAGTCATTTGTGTCTATCTGTCTGATGGTCCAGGGTCTGCGTGTGTACATGGTGTAGTAAGGGCCCCTGGTGTAGGGGACTATAGATCAAGTCATGTGTGTCTACCAGTCTGATGGTCCAGGGTCTGTGTGTACATGGTGTAGTAAGGGCCCCTGGTGTAGGGGTCTATAGATCAAGTCATGCGTGTCTACCTGTCTGATGGTCCAGGGTCTGTGTGTGTACACGGTGTAGTAAGGGCCCCTTGTGTAGGGGACTATAGATCAAGTCATGTGTGTCTACCTGTCTGATGGTCCAGGGTCTGTGTGTACATGGTGTAGTAAGGGCCCCTGGTGTAGGGGTCTATATATCAAGTCATGCGTGTCTACCTGTCTGATGGTCCACGGTCTGTGTATAGTAAGGGCCCCTGGTGTAGGGGTCGATAGATCAAGTCATGTGTTTCTACCTGTCTGATGGTTAAGGGTCTGTGTATAGTAAGGGCCCCTGGTGTAGGGGACTATAGATCAAGTCATGTGTGTCTACCTGTCTGATGGTCCAGGGTCTGTGTGTGTACATGGTGTAGTAAGGGCCCCTGGTGTAGGGGACTATAGATCAAGTCATGTGTGTCTACCTGTCTGATGGTCCAGGGTATGTGTGTAGTAAGGGCCCCTGGTGTAGGGGTCTATAGATCAAGTCATGTGTGTCTACCTGTCTGATGGTCCAGGGTTTGTGTATAGTAAGGGCCCCTGGTGTAGGGGACTATAGATCAAGTCATGTGTGTCTACCTGTCTGATGGTCCACGGTCTGTGTATAGTAAGGGCCCCTGGTGTAGGGGTCTATAGATCAAGTCATGTGTGTCTACCTGTCTGATGGTCCAGGGTCTGTGTATAGTAAGGGCCCCTGGTGTAGGGGTCTATAGATCAAGTCATGTGTGTCTACCTGTCTGATGGTCCAGGGTCTGTGTATAGTAAGGGCCCCTGGTGTAGGGGTCTATAGATCAAGTCATGTGGTCTACCTGTCTGATGGTCCAGGGTCTGTGTGTGTACATGGTGTAGTAAGGGCCCCTGGTGTAGGGGTATTTCCCTGGTATCTCATATGGTACGTCCTTCACATCTTCCTCTGTGTAGAGAGGCTTGATGTTGATCCCCTGGTGATAGAAACAAGAAACATTTTTACATCTGAATCATCATGCATGTCACAGCAGTGACAGTCAAAATAAAAAAAACAATAACAGCTGAAATATGTCACAAAGAATTATTAGAAACTTAGAACTGTTATAAAAGGAAAGATCTTGCTATATACACAGCTTATGGGTGTATTCATGTTGAAGTATCTTAAAGGTTCTGTGATATACAGTGAATTCAGTCAAACCCCATTTACAGGTGACTGGGATTAAAATCCTGTATAAACAACAGATTCAGTTTTAGCCATGAGAAATACTCTTTGGTATCTCACATCTTAGAAACAGTCATGTTTGAGTGAGAAATCTGGATTAGACTGATTTTGTCATGATACTAATGTTTATTACCCACGTGGTCAACATATGGGTAGGTGCATACTAATCTCGTACGTCACACGAGTGTTGTATCGCCCTACGTTAAGATGCACGTTACCAGAAAAAACAGTTTGAAGACGGTTTATGTTTGGGTTAAATATCTCTCTTAGTTATTATATAATTACATCTGTGATTAACGTAGACCAAATGGGGCAATATGAATGTCGCATTTCTACTACCAACTTAAGATCAGTACATCCAGGTGAACCTGACTAATCACGCCACATTCCACGGATGCATTGTGGGAATGTAAACATTGCGAACGTTACCATGTCGCTGTTAAATTGTGAGTTGAACTGAGACATTTTATCCGTCAAAAACCATAAGCGTAATGTTTCTGTCAGTGATGTTAGCTGAGTGAAGCAACTGCAAACCAAGAAACGGGGTGCTATGGAGTAGTTTAGTGTACAAGGCTGTACGAGGCGATGACAACTGACATGCATCATGACGTCGGTTACCAAGGGTACCTTTTATAACGAGGGGGCAGACAAGAATGGCGTAGTGACATCAATACACTATGACATCAAGCGAAAATTCTTCCGCAACCTCTTTATGAAACCAGTTTCTGTTTGAAAGCATAAAACCCACAAAAATACGCTATTTTGTCAATTTTATGCAGGTAAGACGTGGGTAATAAATAAAATACCAAATTCCGTATCATTACATACGAAATATAAATACAAAACTCGTGACCTTCCTACGGTATCTGACCTCGCTTTCACTCGGTGAGATACCACAGGAAGGACACTCGTTTCGTATAATTTGTATGTAATAAGACCTCGTGTAGTATTCTCTATATATGAACACTGAAAGTACATGACATCAAATTTGGTCTGCTCTTGACAGAGATCAGGATTCCAGTTTTCACAGATGCTATTAGAATGTTATAATATAAATGAGTGAGTGAGTGAGTGAGTTGGGTTTTATGCCGCTTTTGGCAATATTCCAGCAACATCACGATGGGGAACACCAGAAATGGGCTTCACACACTGTACCAAAACAGAAGATAACTTTTATTATTCTCAGGCCGGGATACTTGACATAGGTACAAACACAGAGTTAAGTGAAACTAGTATGGCGGAATGGTTTACATGGAAGATTGTATAATTTTCATGATGGTATTACAAAATATACATAAAGTGGACCCCCTCTAAATCGACATCGCTCGGGACCGGTGAAAAATGTCAGTTTAGAGACAGGTTTTTTAAAACACTAATTTGTCTACAGTTAAACAATTCGTTAAATTTTAACACATTGGGTTTTTAACATGATGGTTTGGGATATAAGTTTTCCGATGCTGCTTGAAGAAAGGGCAGAGAAAAATGTAATTTAATTCATTGCCAACATCACACGTGTCCAGAGGTTACACATTCTTTCTTCGGGTGCAATTTTGTGCCACCTACCCACGTGGGGAATCAAACACAGGCCTTCATAATGAGAGAATCATATCTATGTACTAATGACTGGTACATTTCTGATAGTAAAACCAGAGCTGTTTTCAGTACATAGCTTCGTACCTGCATGTACAGGTCTGACAGAAGAGTGAGTGAGTGAGTGAGTTTAGTTTTACGCCGCACTCAGCAATATTCCAGCTATATGGCGGCGGTCTGTAAATAATAGTGTCTGGACCAGACAATCCAGTGATCAACAGCATGAGCATCGATCTGCACAATTGGGAACCAATGACATGTGTCAACCAAGTCAGCGAGCCTGACCACCCGATCCCGTTAGTCGCCTTTTACGACAAGCATAGTCGCCTTTTATGACAAGAATGGGTTGTTGAAGACCTATTCTACCCCGGATCTTCACGGGTCTTGACAGAAGAGGTGGATCAGTACATAGCTATGATTTGGCAGCTATTTTAGGAAGAGTACATACAGTTCAATGTTTGACAGTATGTTCACCTCTGATGTTCTCCATGTGAGCGTTTCCTCCACATCCTTCCCCTTCAGCTCCTTCTTGGCTCCTGCCGACCACGTCGGGTCAAGAGGAGATGAGCTGCTGGCAAACCTGGTGCAGTTCCATATAGGCGCAAGTATCTTCAACAGAAACAAGCACTGATAAGCCATGTACATGCTTATATGTACATAGCTGTTAACGTAAATATGGACTGGAAGACATTAAGTAAAACATGACTTGTAGATGTCAGGATCAGTTTCACTCTCAGCATTTGTCAACAGTATAATATTTTCAGATTTCACAAAACCAAACTTTAATTAAAAAAGGCATTGTGCTGACTCATGTTTCTTTTCATAATGCCTCATCCAAAACAATTTCTGAAATGGCCACGAAATGGATACCAGAAATCTTAAAAATATGATATAGTTTTGCTTGAGTACTGTTACTTCGTAAGGTGCACTTTATATGAAGGATAACAAATATATAACACTTAATCAAAGAAAAGACAGGATCAAATGTGCTGGCAGTCAGTACAAATCTCATTCAAGTCTTCAAATGTTTCTTTTCTTTTCCAAAATGTCCCTATTCAAGTATGTACATTGTGAAATCCACTGGCCCACTTGTCTGTTCAAAAGTAGAGTGTTCAAGGCTGCTCCAGTTATAAGACAACAAAGTGGGCACAGGTTATACTCCGAGTTAATAACTACCCAAATAACAGAATTGAGTACGTCTGTTTTTACTTCACACTGAACAGTTTTTCAGATATTATTACATCACACCAGAGAGGAGTTATGCCTCTGAGATGTTTATCACTTTGATGAAACCCATGAGTCGGTGCTTGGTTCTAACACACCTAGAAATATGATTTGGGTAAGCCCAAATTCAAACAAATAATCATAGGATCCTTGCAGGATTAAGGGACACAACTCATCACATGGAGCTGATGTATCTCGGCCACCCATTTGCAAAAGAAGAAATGTCTTAGTTTTATATATGACACTCACAATATGCCAAGACAATCAATCTGAGGCTTAGCGTAACTTCAGGTTTAACGCTTGTGGACATATTGCAACCAAACCAACGAGTTAATTTAAGGTAATCTAAACAAATACCGTGTCATCAGAAGAAATATGCAATGAAAGAAATAACTACTTGGCCAAATTTGTTACCAGTGCCACGTTTTGTGCAATGGAAGCAGACCTTAAGGTTGTACATCATTAGTTTATATTGCAAATATAACGATATAGTAGTGATCGAAAATAGGACATTTCTTGGTCGATCACATTTCATACGTTCTTTCTGTATCCCTATAATGTCATACACGTGTAAGGTTGTATGGAAGTAAGTAGTTTAAAAAACATACTTGATTAGATCTGTTGCCAATTTCTTTTCCCAACAAACCGTAGACACGAAACATTGTTTATGATGTTAGTTGCATCGCCTGCACAGAAGGTCAAGGACGACAACGGTGTACATAAAATTACGGATCTCCTGGCTAAAACGGATCTGTGTCAAACCGGGGGACATCAAATTTGGCATCCTTGTCAGCTCAGCCGGTGGATCACAAGTAATAAAATATACATATTACATTGCTTACATTGCATTGTTTCAAATGTCAGAATTCTTTAAAACAAAAGTTAATTACTGTTATATCAATTAATAATTGAAATGATCCGACAGCAGCATTTGTTGCCAATCGTGGTCTCTGAAAGCTTCCAATTTTCTTATTGGATAAGAAAATAATGTTTCAAAACCCCGAAGAGCAATACACAGTTGCATAGGGTAGTGGAAGGGTTTTATATGGTGACATCAGTCGATTGCAGAGACGTCAACAGATTACTAAAAAATGATGTTTTGACGGATATCTCGTATGTGAGTGAGGTTTAGGTTTAGTTTCACGCTTCTTTTATCAATATTCCAGCAATTCCGCGACGGGGGACACCAACAATGGCCTTCACGCATCGTACCCATGTGAGGGAATCAAACTGAGGTCTTCGGCATGACGAGCGAACGCTTTAACCAGTAGGCTACCCTAACGCCCCTCTTGTATGTACATGCAGGTATTGTAATGATAACCAATACATGAATAGGGAAATGCATCGTAGTTTAATATTATACACATATTGATGATACATAAACAATACCAACGATCTACAGAAAAAAGCTCTAGCTGTCAGCCCGTTGACTTAGGCGTCATATAATCACGAAGATGATAGTCCATGATGAATATTTGCAGCACTTACGGTAAGTGGATATAAATCGGGTCGTCTGCGGTCACCACGTGCAGCACGTGATTTCCGACCTGCTGCACAACCTGACCCGTGAAAAGATCTACTGAATCACAACACAACCCTCAATCGTCACTGAGCACTCCGGCCCCCAGTTTGTTTCGCCATTGCTTTCAGGTAATCGGTTCAGATTAACTTTATTCAAAGAAATTTATTTTACTAACGCATTTATGATTTTCAAACGCCAGAGAAAGAAATGGATCCGGATATTGCATTGTGGTAAAATGGCTTAAATTCGTTTTGGTCCTTAGAGGGTTTGGTTTGGTTTGGTGTTAACGCCACACTGAGCAATATTCCAGCTATAAACGGCGATCTGTAAATATTTGAGTCTGGGACAGACAATCCAGGGATCAACATCAATAAAGACTACAATTGAAACCAGGAGCTATATAGTCCCGGTTATCAAACGAGAAATGAATATTCAATTATTGACATTGTTCTGAGGTGAGGTGAAATTGGGTTTAACGTCGTGTTTGAGAATATTTCGCTCATATGACGACGTGCATGCGTGTGTATGTGTATGTGCGGCTGCTTGTACTAGCCCAGACTTAAGCTGGTTTTATAGTGCTAGCCCACTGAGATACCATGCCGCAGTGAAGCATGAATACCCCACTCAGACACATTATACTGACTCCGAGCCGACCAGTCCTTGTTGTACCCATTAATGCCGAGCGCCAGGCAGGGACCAACAATGAAGACCATATTTTGGTATGACGCGGCCGGGGATCGAACCCGCGACCTTCCGCTCTCCGGGCGGACGCTCTAACCACTACATCACGGAGGCGGTCGACATTGTTCTGATTGTGCATGGAATATTTATTACATACGTGGGTGTATATGAATGTACCTGTATATGTTGGGCTGTGGGGGTAGCCTAATGGTTCGAATCCCATCATGGATGGTTCAATGTGTGAAGCCCTTTTCCGGTGTCGCCCGCCGTGACATTGTTGGAACATTGCAAAATGCGGCGTAAAACTAACCACACTTACCAGAGTGTGTGTGTGTATGTCTGTCTGTCTATGGCAACATCCAATCATCTTGGTGTCCCCCGCCTTGATATTGCTGGAATATTGCTAAAAGCGGCGTAAAACCATATTCACTCACTCCAATTATTTTGTTTTCCTGAACTGAGTGACAGGGGACAGTATAGTTGAAAGAGAAGGCAAACCTCAGAACCATGTAGACGGTTCTGGTTGACAGAGAGGAACTGATTTGATTGATGATGGGTTAAGGGTCAGAGGGGAAGATACTGTCCGATCCACCAGAAACATCCAGATCTGAATAAGTTAATGAATCATGGGCTTAATATATAGAATTTGCAAGGAGAATAAAGTCTGAACTAAGTCTGAAAGTCGTGTAATTCACAAAGGAGTTGTTTATTGAATCAATCATGGGCGTACGAATTAGGGTTAGATAGAGAAAACTAGAACGGTAACTGTCACTATATGGATGTCAAACTAATTAATCGCTAGATTTGGTGTGGGAGAGTCGGGGAATAAAACGACGTGGAAATTCACCAGTCGGATAGAGCGGTTTTCGTGACACAACCAGTAATATCGGAGGTCACTGCGATCCCAGATTTCAGGTTTCTTACAGTAGATTTGGTGAGTACTTTGTTATATGTTTTTAGAACCGTTTGCAATAACAATTGTGTGAATGTTTGAAGGAGGTGAAGCTGACTTGTTCCTGTTGTGTCATCTCCTGGAAGTGAGTGAGTGAGCATTGTTTTACGCCGCCTTTAGCAAGATTCCAGCAATATCACCAGAAATGGGCTTCACACATTGCACCCATGTGGGAAATCGAACCCGGGTCTTCGGCGTGACGAGCGAACGCTTTAACCACTAGGCTACCCCACCGCCCCTCTCCTGGAAGTGAAATCTGGCAACGAATCTTGTTTACAAAATTTTCGATTCGTTGCCATAGTAGACGACTAAGTGGGTGATCGATGCTCGTGATGCTCTTGATTATTTAGACCACCATCTGTGAAATTGTTGGGAGAATTTTTTAATCAAATCAGTATCATTTCTTCATGAGACCAATTATAAGTCTACAAGCGGTTATAGCAAAGTAAAAATGTCTTACATGTAAATTGACAAACTTCAGTGAGTGAAAGCTGTACTCTCATTGCAGGACGATCTGACATGTCATTGGGCCCGCTGAAAGACGCCAACCGGCTCAACGAACCGAAGTCTTCCACATCCAAACCAGACGGCAAGAGTTGTTGCCCTGGTGACCTTGTACACTCGACTACTTCCGGTTCAACTAAATGCAGCTCCGTCGAGAGGTCATCGAAGGAGAACTACCGAGAATCTGGGTGTTGTGGTGGACATGATGCTTTCTGCTCAGACGAAAATTGTTTGGATGTATGCGAGTTTTCCCCGGACATTCCCGAGCCCCAGATGTGTGGGAAATGCGGAAAGCATGGCGTGCGTCTGAAGATATGTAGTCGGTGCAAGACGGCTCTGTATTGTTCCAGAGAGTGTCAGAAGAAAGACTGGCAGAAACACAAGAAGGTAATAAAGACACACATCTGCAATAACAAACACAATAAAAAAACAATATAGGCTTTCGATTGGCTGGAAATTCTCGTCCAATCAAATTACTCCTACGAGCGAGAGAACTTCTGTGCTGAAAGATGCCGATGATGATAGTGGGTGGCGAATGTGTCCAAGTTGTTTAGCAAACTGGAATGGAGATACAACAGACCTCGTGTCCAAACATTTACTACATCGGTCTCTTTTTTGTGTGTTTTGTTTTTCATTCACCACTTGAATCTGAAGTTGATGAAAAAGATTCTTGAACATACCTTTTAACTATCAAACATCCCACTCTCTATATGGAAACTAAGGGTGGGTATTGCAGCAAATATTCATATTGCGATATATTGTGATGCGAAAGCATGTATTGCGATATGTATTGCAATATATATTGCATGAAATATTTTTAAACAAAACACTACTTATAAATCGAGTTACTGCTTGATTTATAGAGCAAAAACACAACAACATCACTATGCTTGATTAAGCTTAATAACAACTTTTAATCATGATAAAATAAAAATGTGAATAATATTTGGCACAAATGAAACAAGGAAATATCCGAAGATTTCCGACTGTTACGACGTTAAAATACCGGTTTTCGATCAGCGTATCGCAATACGAATCGTTTTCATGTCTGAACCGGTAAATACCGGTAAACCGGTTATATTGCGCAGCCCTAATGGAAACACTTTATAAAGTAGTATTTGGAGGGAGATTCTTGTGGTAAAAGAGCATACCATTACATTATTTCAGTCAGTACTTAGCTACTCTACCCGTGAAGGTCCGGGTTAGAATATTGATCTTCAGTAACCCATGCTTGTCGTAAGAGGCGACTAACGGGATCGGGTGGTCAGTTTCGCTGACTTGGTTGACACATGTCATCGGTTCCCAATTGCGCAGATCGATGCTCATGCTGTTGATCACTGGATTGTCTGGTCCAGACTCGATTATTTACAGACCGCCGCCATATAGCTGGAATATTGCTGAGTGCGGCGTAAAACTAAACTCACTCACTCACTGGTCCAAACTCGATTATTTACAGACCGCCGCCATATAGCTGGAATATTGCAGAGTGCGGCGTAAACCTAAACTCACTCACTCACTTAGCTTACTCTCTCATTAAGCTGACACCCGTAAAGATCAGGGTTAGAATTGGTCATCAGCAACACCTGCTTGTCGTAAGAGGCTACTAAGGAGATCGAGGTGGTAGGGAAGCCCAGTTGTTAAAGCGAAGGCCCGGGTTTGTTGCCCACATGGGTACAATGTGGGAATCCCATCCCCCGTCGAGATATTGCTGGAAAATAGCTAAAAGCGGCGTGAAACTATGCTCACTCACTACTAACGGGATCACTGGTCACGCTCGCTAACTTGGTTGTCACGTCATCGTATTCCTGCTACGTAGATCGATGCTCACAATGTCAACCTCTGGTTTATCTGGTCCAGACTCGATCATTTACAGACCGCCCACATGTAGCTGGAATATTGCTGAATGCGGCGCTAATCAACAAACAGAATTACGCTGACATTCCGCGATGGTATAAATCATACACTGTTCAAACTGGCTTTCAACCCAACGCTCACAATTAAAAATATCGTTCAGACATGCAGAATACCGGACCACGATGGGAACGACCTGAAGACTCTCCTGAAACAACTGACTACTAGCCTTGTTGTAGAAAAACGTAGAAAACTGACCTTCACTGAGGCCAAGGTGAAGGCTGAGAAGTTATATCCAGGGAGGCCACTCTTCGATGAACTCTCCAAACTGAGCACGCACCCGTCACGGGGGATCTTCCTTGGGCTTATATCAGAAATGCACTTCTATGTCATTCGGCACGGGGTGTATGTGAAGGTAGGAATTATATATATATGTGACTTCAAAGAGTTTTCGCTTATACTTCGACCTTAAAGTCGAAAGGCCGAAATATAGAGCTGGAATTACAACGGGCTATAATAACATTACATGACCTTTACCCCTGTGTTGTTGTAGGACCGCGTCGGCCGTCAGACGTCTGTATTCTTCTACCTGGACTACGACAACCCCGACCCTTACTTCAGCTGGAACGACCTTCAACCTGGCAACTACATTTGCATAAAGAATCCCCATTTGCATATTTTCTTGGATGGTCAAGCTGGATTTCGTATTGACGAAGCATCTTCTGTCAAGATTATTTTGTGACAACATCATGTCCGGACGTGTAAACGTTTGTTGAGTTTCTTTTTAGGTTTGGTTGACTGTCCATTTGTCATTATGATCTGAGAAAATAGATACACATACAACGATCCGCCTTTGTTTCCTTCTCACTCTTTAGTTATTTAACGTGATTGAATGTGTTGTGGCATCTCGCCTGCAGCATCACCTGAAGCTCAACCTATAGCTAGGGGAACCCATGCAATCTGCCTATAAATTTTGGCCACAGCATGGAATCCGCTCTGCTCCGTGTACAGAACGACCTTCTCAGTGAAGTCGACTCCAAAGGCGCAGCAGTCCTGGTTCTTCTAGCCCTCTCTGCGGCCTTTGATGCCATCAACCATGGTATTCTCCTCTCACTGCTTGAATCGCACCTTGGCATCCAAGGTAGAGCTCTAGCTTGGTTAAGTCCTACCTCACGGACCGATACCAGGCTGTGGTTATACATGGCTCCAACTCAAGCCGTCATCATCTGGAGTACGGAGTTCCTCAAGGCTCAACACAAGAAAAAAAATGGTGATTTCCAAAAATGTCCAATTTGGAAATATCATATTTCCCAAAATTTCCAAAATTGGAAAGATGATATTTCCAAGGTTTGGAAATCTTTGGAAATTTAGGAAGGATTTTACCACTACTTCTTTCAGTTTCTCCTTTTCCCAAGGATCCCCGTGAGTGTATAGACTGTGTATTCGTCCTCCTAGGAGTGTATTCGTCCTCCTATGCGATCAACTATAACCAGGGAGACTATAAGACGTTGTAGATTATTCCTGGTATAACTTCTCTCGTCTGCATCCTTGTTGTTCTAGGTGTCAAAAATTGGCATTAACTGTCATATTTGCCCTGATATGGCTAGCATTTTCCAAAATACAGTTTTAAGTGTATGGTTTACTTATTATCCACAAAAGCGCAAATAGTTTTTGACCTGTCACGGTTTGCATAAACACAAATTACATAGACCTACGTTACATCATTGATTAAATAAAAGTTTACCGGACCCACTGACTGACTGGCCAGGGTTTATTACCTGTCATAAAAGTGAACCCTTGCCAGGGAATAATAGGCTTATTGTAGTAGAATACATTCTTTAATGGTACCCTCTAATTAACACCTGACACAAGGGATGGACCGTTTAGGTGGTTTATCATTGCGAAATCAACAGTCAACAGACCATGAAATGTTATTTTAAGACTGTAAGAGAATAGAGAGCAACCCTTTTTGGGTTTGTGGTCAGAGACGGTGTTATGCAGTTGGTGTATTCACGAAATATCATGAACTTAATAATAGATAATTGGTTATATTGTCCACACACAGGCGGACTGGGGCAAAAAGAACCCAAATGAATTCCTTCTTAAAAACTTCATAGTGTAACTAATTAATTTGGTCATATACAATAAAAGGTGACTAAATGTTTAATTTTAGATAACGTTAAATAATTTCTAGAGAAACCACTACACAAGTTCATATCACAGATGATTCCAGAGACAAACAGTGTATGAGATTCTAGTTTATGAAAAGCATTAAATTCCAAACAAGCCAATCTGTTCTCTAATGCTCAGGAATTATTACCACTTACATACCATAGTTTGAGATGTCGACTCAGGAAGCCGACCTTTCGATTCTTATAAGGATCAGGACATTGACAAGGGGTACGCTTTAAAGTTTGGGTGTTATTTTAGCACATGGCTAATCTCATGTGACGTGTTATTACAAGCTGGTGGTTGATGGAAGTGAACACATCGCACACTGAAGCCGACCGTGTAAAAACATGATCAAAACAATCATATGGTAAACACATTTAACAAGGCACTGATCCAGAGCAATTTGCGCGCACTGGTGGTTGCTTTTGTTATTGCTTTTGTCCCCTGAGTACCCGGATGATATCCCAGTACTTTCGATTGGTTCGTGACCTTTGCTGCGCAACCCGCATGCGCAATTGATCGTATAGGTGTAGATTGATCAACAAATATAAATCTTTTTTACTCGATAATATTTCCATCATTTTGAAAATGAAATGAAAACAGTTTGAAGTTTAATCATCTGCAAGTGGTAAAAAATGTCAGGACTGAAAAAAAACGAAGTCAATGTATGTCTATATATTTTGTCTTATAATCCTAATTATTATATTGCCATATTTGGCATGCATTTTGAAACTTAATAAAAAGCATACGATTATACTTATAGCGTATTTACAACATGACTGTAATATCTAGACATTTTATAGAATGCCAACACGAATCATATTTCACACACACCCTAGGTATGACCTAGTGTATGTTGTCTGTCTCATTACGGCGAAAACAAATGATTCTGCTGAATGCTACCACAAATGAATAAAAACAAAATGCAAATATTAGAAATAAAACCGACTAAAGTCTGCAACAATGTCAGGTTATTACCTTGTTCGAGGAATGTATCCATCAATATCCACATAGGTTTAGTCCCGATTTTGACAGCCTCAAATTTGGATATAGGAGCCAATAGAGCTTTGGTCTGGATGTGTATGCTGTTTGTCCCCTCTTCTGACAACAGTCCCATCTGCTGTTGTAGTGACTGAGGCTGTTGTCGGGCACTGACATCTCCATATAATGGTACCATTCCTGCTGGCAGTTCGTCTCGTATTAGTTTGTATTAGTGTTGAAGAATTTTACTTGTTCTGTACTTCTCTCAGGTGATTGCATTAACATAACTACCCTTAATTGGTGCAGCTAGTTATCCCAGGTTTGAGAGCGAAACTTCGCGAATCAGTGACCAAGACCCTGTCAAAAATGGGACACTACCTCCACATAAAGGAACAATATGCCATTGATCTGCCGCTGACAAAGAATCCCGTTCCATGCCAAGTGTCTTTTAACAGTCTAATACCCGAAAAAGGGATACATCGATTCAGTTTTCACATTGGTGTATAATCTCATTGGTCAACTAATTGCATGATGTTCGCCATTCTTTAAAAAGGTAATTTAATTAGCCAATAATGAGCAGTTTTTCTTGGCGTGGTCATCTCCTCCCCCACACCCCCACCCACCCGTACCATTGTCTTGCTAATTAACATGGTCTGGTGATCCTCTTACGCCTTAAATAATCAACTTGCCCGACTGGCAAAAGAGGAACACCCCCATCAACTTACTGGCGGTTAATACATTGAACATTACCTTTTGACAAATCCACTGTGCAAGAAAAAAGTAATTAATCAATCAGCGTGTTATCGGTTAATCCTTTGATCAATGTTTGTTTTGTATCTCAGCTGATAATTCGTCTTGCTGCAGTTCCATGAGCATATTACATAACATGTAATACATTTGTCACATCAGACCTTAATTCATAATGCTGAGTACATGTATTTACTCCAGACACAAGAAATGCGAAATGGGAACCTTTGGCGGCTAACCTGAGTGGTATTACCATCATACCTGTTATAAATGCATTAATTGACCATCAAGTGAATGATTACAAATATCATGTGTAGGTTTATACCACCAAACACTCAGCTGGTTACAGCAAAGGGGATAGTAATCGCTGAATTGCATGCAATGTTATTTGCCTGAAAAAAGTTATGGGCCGACACTGTTTGGAGGATACGAACGGAATTTCATTGTTGCATAAGAAATACATATAAGCATTGGATGTGTACTGAAGTTAAAATTGTATATACCTAAGTACATTTTCATTTGTCATAAATATAATATGTAATAGACATCATATGTTTACATGGCATGATTAAATATCGAGGTAAAAACACAGAAATAAGATCAAATTGAAAAATTGATCAGTCACTATGCCATCTATGCATTAAAAAATCCGAAAAGCATATACACTGCTGGTATACTTTATTGCAATCAGACAGGAACTACTGGGGGTATTCTCAAATACATGTAACAGCATCTGATGAGCATCCACCCTTCCTAATGTCCCGCTGTTTGGGTTGAAGAAATTTTGTCAAGGTGGCCAGAAGCCCAGTCCCTGTGTCCGTCACGGTCGAAGGAGCAGATACCGACAAGCTTGCAGTTTGGTTTGGTAATTAGACTGTTGGCGAGAAACATTAATCGCTCTGGATCAGTTCCCATCTAATTACATGGGGATATATAATGAGAAGAAGCATGAAAGTGTACATTCGATTTCGAAATGGCTAATGCTCAACTTGAACATAAGTTTATTCCTACACCTCGTTGGTGCAATATGACGGAGGCCAAAGACAACCCACGAAGAAGAAATACCGATACCTGGAACGTCGTCTTCAAGAACTGAGACACCAGTTTCAAAATGGAATGTTAACTGTTAGACAGTTTGCTGATTCAGCGTCTCTTCTTTCACATCTTTAATATATTTATAATGTACTTATAAATGTGTATGTATATTTATAATTATGTAATATTTTGAAACATTTCATAATATGATGTAATATAAATATTTATAAAAAAATCCTGTAATATGTAGCATGTTGTAACATGATTAAATAAAATCTGTCCATATAGTCTCCCGTTACCACTCGTGGCTTACGCCTTCTATGTTTTTTATGTGTTTTATATTTCAATGTTTATATGCTGAGACTGAAATGAAATACTTTCTTTATACATATATTTGGCTCGTTTTCTCATTAGGTGTGCGCTCATTCGCTCTCATTCGCATAATCCGGAATATCCTCATAGGTGGTATGTTTCGTTGTGTATCCCCATACTGTTTACTGCAGTATAAGTGAAATCTACTTCACTTTGCGAATGACCAATCTTTTGAAGTTGATTTAAGTTCTATTTAAGTAAACTGCTACCTAACAGATTAATCTCAGATTAAAACATCTCATTCCAAAGTCGTGTTTTCTATTTCAGGTACTAAGAAATACTGAATTTTTACATATTAGATATAAATCTATCGGTACCAGTTTGACGTGTCTGGTCATGAGTTAACTAACATAGTGATTATATATTTTTGACCATTACACGTGTCATTCACACGTCACGTATGCCATTCTAATGTTCTCTGATCCATTTCATCATACAGCATTTATGTCATTCAATGTTTTGAAGCTCATATGAAAACATGAAAAATGTTACTGTTCCAGTTCCTTTTGAAGAGTGAAATTATTTTTGTTCTTGGAGTGTT